CCACTCAACTATTTATTTCCTCCAACGGCTCAGAAAAGAGTAATCAAAACAGTACTACGGAGAATTCTGGGAAGGGTGTTAAAATCAACTGCACTAAAGCTCGGTGAAAAAGCACTGGATAAAAAGTCCCTTTTCCGGCTCCTGCTATCTCACCTAGTTAGAATGCAAGCTCCCCGAGGGCAGCTGAATGCCTCTTTTGTATTTGTATCCTTTATACTTTACTAGGCAGAAAGTAGGTGCTTAATAGTCAGTAAATATTTTGTTGTTGTTCAGTCGGGTCCTACTCTTTGGCGTTTTCTTGATAAAGTTACTGGAGTTTGCCCTTACCTTCTCCAGTGAATCCATTTTGAGAAGTTTGCCCAGGATTACACAACTAGGATGTGTCTGAGTCTGAATCTGAACTCAGGTCTTCCTGACGCCAGGCTCAGGGTTCTATCCACTGAGCAAGTAGCTGCCTCTTTATAGTTAACAAATACTTTTTCATTCATGCAAGCATTCAAGGCTCAGCTTAGATGACACCTCCCCAAAAAGCCTTTTCTGATTTTCCCAATAGTTCTTTCCCTCTTCAAAATACCTGGAGTTATCTGTGTACACGTACGTGGTGTATCTCTACCTTGCCCCATACTCACGTTAACTGCTCCCATATTCCCCAGTGGGTGCAAGTTCTATGAACACTGTTCATTTTTGTCTTTGCTAGCACACTGCCTGGTACACAGACTCTCGATATATTTTTTACTTTGAGTCAATGCCCCCTCCAACTCCACACGACTGGATCCCCGGGAGGCAGCTCTCGCACGGGGATCAGCGCGAGCCAAGCACCACCTTCCAGTTCAAGCCCTGGACCACCAGGACCCGAGGCTAGCACGCATGCGGAGCCCAATTCCAGAGGGCAGGAGAGAATTGCCGGCGTTAAGAAAGCAAAGGCGGAGGGAGGAGGGAGGATGCACGTATTTCCGCTCCGGCGGACAAATAATACTGGCCAAAGGGGAGGAGGCTAGTATTCCTGGACCCTTTAACAGAGTAGGAAACGGGTGGGGGAAAGTCGGGAGGAAAGGGAGGTATCGCACCCCTTTAATTATACACACACCCCATACACTTTTTGCCCCACTGTAGCTTCCTCCTGAAGCCACAGCCGCCGCAGTAGGCGAAACCGCGCGTGCTGAGTCCAGGCTGCCTGGCACGAGCCGCCCCCGCCCCGGCCCCTCCTCCCCAGCCCGCCCACGCAGAGCCGGAGTCGCGCGCCAGACCGCGCGCACGGGCGCGCACGTCCCTGCGCCTGCGCGTCACTCAGGCCTGCCAGTGCGTGGTGGGTGCCGCCGGCCCCCGGGGGGGGGGCGGGGGAATTAAAGGAAAAAAAAAAACTGCGCGTGGAACCGATCCAGGTGAGAGGCGCGCTTCCCGATGGGGTCATGGGATTTAGGGGAACAGGTTCTCCGGAGCAGTTGGGCCCCGAAGGTTGGGGGGCAGGAGAGTAAGATGCTGGGGGGGGGCGTGCGCGGTGCGTACGGGGGGGGGCCGGGAACGGGCGCGTGTAAACGTGCCCAGGGGGGCGGGGAAAAGGGAGAGCGTGCCCCAGACTAGGGAACCCTCAAACCCCGGCCCCTCCCCCCCACACTCCGCGGGCACACCTACCCCCCCCCCTCTTGCCCTGGTCCCTAGTTCGTGGGCGGGATGCTTGGGGAAGAAAGTATGCGGACCCCGCCCCTCGTGGGACTTCGCCTTCCCTCCCCTCCCCCTGGGATGGGACGGAGCAAAAACTGAGGGGTGGAGGGTGGTCTGGAGACGGAAGTAGCATGCTTCTGCCCCTGGGGAGGGGGGAAAAGGGGAGAGGAGGGGGCCGAGGTTTGGGGAAGGGGTGAAGGACCGGCTTCCTAACTAATTCACCCTCCACCAAACACAGGAAACTCTCCCAGCACTCCCAGCACCATGGCATCTGGAGTGGAAGTCTTGCGATTCCAGCTCCCAGGGCATGAGGCTGCTACCCTTCGAAACATGAACCAGCTCCGAGCAGAAGAGCGCTTCTGCGATGTCACCATTGTGGCCGACAGCCTCAAGTTCCGGGGCCACAAGGTAATCTTGGCGGCCTGCTCCCCATTTCTTCGTGACCAGTTTCTCCTCAATCCCAGTTCAGAACTACAGGTCTCGCTAATGCACAGTGCCAGAATCGTGGCAGACCTCCTCCTGTCCTGCTATACTGGTGCTCTGGAGTTTGCTGTCCGTGACATTGTCAACTACTTGACTGCTGCCTCCTACCTTCAAATGGAGCATGTGGTAGAAAAATGTAGAAATGCCCTGAGCCAATTCATTGAACCCAAGATTGGCCTGAAAGAGGATGGAGTTAGTGGAGGGATTGGATTGACTGGGCTCAGCTCCACCAAGTCACTCCTCCCACCTGCTCGAACCCCAAAGCCAGCTCCCAAACCCCCACCACCACCACCTCCTCCACCTCCTCTTCTCCGACCAGTGAAGCTAGAATTTCCCCTAGATGAGGACCTTGAGTTAAAGGCAGAAGAGGAGGAAGAGGATGAAGAAGAGGATGTGTCAGATATCTGCATTGTCAAAGTGGAATCAGCATTGGAAGTGGCACAGAGGCTTAAGCCCCCTGGAGGCATTGGGGGGAGCCTTGGTCTTGGAGGGAGTCTTGGCCTTGGGGGCAACCTTAGCCTTGGAGGGGGTCTTGGCCTTGGGGGGGAGTAGTGGACTCCTCATCAATGAAGTTGGAGAAACAATTGATGCACCTGATGATAGCACAGCACCCCAGGGGGTAGTGAAGGCCTGCTATAGCCTTACAGAAGACACAGAAGGGGAGGGTCTGTTGCTGTTTCCTGGAGGTCAAGTAGGGGAGGGCATTACCCTTGGGCTGGGAGATGAAGCCCTAGCAGCAGCCACTATGTCCCGGAGCAGTGGTGTTAGTGGGAGTTATGGGGGCATGAGGAGTCCTATACCAGGAGGCTCCCCAGTGGGAAACCCACTGAAGAACATCAAGTGTACCAAGTGCCCAGAAGTGTTTCAGGGTGTGGAAAAACTTGTGTTCCACATGAGAGCCCAGCACTTCATCTTTATGTGCCCTCGATGTGGGAAACAGTTCAACCATAGCAGCAACCTCAACCGTCACATGAACGTCCACCGAGGTGTCAAGTCACACTCCTGTGGTATTTGTGGCAAATGCTTCACGCAGAAGTCTACACTACACGACCACCTCAACCTTCACTCTGGGGCTCGACCCTACCGTTGTTCTTACTGTGATGTGCGCTTTGCCCATAAACCTGCCATTCGACGCCACCTCAAGGAGCAGCATGGCAAGACCACAGCAGAGAATGTCCTTGATGCCAGTGTGTCAGAGCTCAATGCCCTCCTCCACTAGCAGGAGGAGGGATAACTAGGGGAGGGGGTGAGGTGAGGAAAGAAGATTGCTGGTAGAAGGGGGTGATGAAGGATCCTCTTTCACCAAGGGGAGGAAGTTTGAAGGGGAAAAGGGCTTTTCTGTTTCCAGGAGAGTTAACATACATTCTGGGGTTAAAGGCAGAGGTATTACAAAAGAACAGCTGCTCAGATCTTCAGGGGGAAAAAGGTGGGTTAGACGTTACTGAGGGGACTGACAAACCTTTCCTTGGGATGATAAGGAAAGAAAAGTTTTCCTGTATTCTAGGATAAGAAGGGCCCAGGAAGAGGGAAGGCTCTTTTCTGGAAGAGGTAGATTATTGGGTTGCGGATGGTGTGCAGGGTGTAAGTAGTAAAAAGGGGAATATAGGAGAAGATGGTTTTATCATAGGGTAAGAAAGCTATAGAGAAGACTTAACTCAGTTGGGATAGGGTGGGTGGGAATTGGGAGGGAATCTTACCAAAGCTATACCTATCCTTAGGTGGGAATAGAACAGGGGAAACCTCTTAAATTCTTGGGAGAGCAACTGTTATGAGGAAAAGGTTATCAAGTCCCAGGGAGAAAAAGTAGAGAATGTCTTTCTTGCATGCTAGGGAGGAGGGGAGGGGGACAGGGATGGGCTTTTGTCTCAGTAGACAAAAAGTGACAAATGGTGGCAAAAATGAAGAAAAAGGGAGAAGAATGGAAGTAGACTAGAAAACAATAGAGGTAAAAGGAGGAAAGTCAGAAGTAGTGAGGGTTGGGGAGGGGACATGGGGGAATGAGGAAAATACCTAGAAAAGGGCTCTTAGGGAGGGGAGGGAAGCAGCTGGGGAGGGAAAGGGTGTGGTAGACAATAACGGTATTTTTTAAGGAAACATATTTTTCAGGAGTTTTCTGGAATCTGAGGTCTCAGTTTGTTTTTATTTTCCACAAAATAAAAAAAGGGTTTTTTTCTTTATATTTTGTTGTTTGTGAGTCTGAGTTATCCCTTTCCTTCCAGTCTGGACTTAGACTACCTTGGCCATCCAGCTTCTGCTTCTCTTTGAGTTTTCTGTACCTGTCCAGTGTTTTTAGTCACCTCCTGGTCTCCTCACCATGAGGGCAAAGACCGTGTAAACTTTTTTCAACAGTACTTTGCTAAATTCTTAGTACTCTTCATATATGGTGTTTCAGTCCCAACTCATGTCATTATCTACTTGTGAGATGTCACATACAAGCCTGTTGCTTAAACAAAGGGAGGAAATTAGACTAGATCAGAGGTTCTCAAACTGGCATGATAGGCTTGGATGGGGTAAAAATACATTTTTTTTCCCACTAAGATCAAACGAACAACATTTCCTTCAATTATGAATTTTAAGTTATTCTGAGAAGGGATCCTTAAGCCTCACCAGACTGCTAAGGAGGGAGTGTCCATGATGCCCCCAAAAAGGTTAAGAACCCCCAGACGGGATGGTCCCTGGGGCCCTCTCCAATACTACTCCGAGTTTGTGGATGGAAGGAAAACTTTAAAGGCCGCTCTCAGCCTGTGCAAACTACAGCTCCCAGGAGGCCTCGGAGGCGGCCCCGGGTGCCCAGTCCCAACCCCCAGGAGCCGGGGCTGCCGACTCGTCCGGGTTCAAGGGCTGTGGTAGAGACGGCTGAGGCGGCGCGGCCCTCCGTGCTGGGAAAGCGGCGTCTGCGCTTCTTCTGGTCGTGATGTCATTAGCGAAATTGTGATTGTGTTAAGTTCTCGGAGGGACCGGTGGCCGGCCGGGCGGGACTGGAGTAGTCTTTAATTAAGCCCTAGTTACTCACAATAAGAGCCGGGAGTAAAAGCCCTAGGTAAAGGGGAGGAGCGTCTCGGAGTACCCCCATCCCCACCCACCTCCAGGGGCAAAGGCTTCTCTCCAGCTTCAGCCCGGACCGAGATCAGAGGCAGAGGCACGGTCCTGCCTCTTGCCGGGACGCCCAGACCTGAGGAACCTCGGCTCCGGGGTTATTGGGCAATAGACTTGCACCACAGAGGCGGCCCCCGCCCCCGTCCCTGCACTCCGGCGGAGCGCCCGCGCTCGCCCCCCCATGGTAAAGGCCAGGGCGGCCAGATCGCAGTGGCCTCCGAGGCGCCCCCGCCAGAACCCTCCCAGGCATCCTCCGCAGCCCTCGGGGCTCCTGTCCCAGGAAAATGGCAATGGAATGGGCCACGGCTCCTTTAAGGGTTCTCTTCCTCCTCCCTCCTTCCACAACTCCCCCATCCCCCCTGGCCCACGTGACCCGGGCGGCCGCGCGCCTCCTGGGCCCCCCGCGCGAGCGGCTATGGCGGCGGCGGCGGGAGCTGCAGCGGCGGCGGCCGCCGAGGTGCGGAAGGGGAGGGGGGGGAGGCGGGTGCATGCCCGCCCGCGCGCGCGCCCGGGGGAAGCGCGCACTCGTGCAATGCTCCGGGGGTGCAACGGGGCCGGGGGGCCCGAGCCGGGCTTGCAACAAGCCGGGGGGCCAGCGCCGGGGGCCGGGGAGGGGACCAGGGGATGGGAGGCGGGGGAAGCGGGCACGGAGGTGCGCGTGCAGCCGCTGGCTACCCCCGAATGGGCGGATGGAGCCGGGGTCCCAGGGGCACGCGCACGGGGTGCGCGGGGCAGACCGCCAAGCTGGGGGGGAGTGGGTGCCGGGGGGGGCGTCGCGCGGGGCCCCCGCGGCTCCGGGGACAAAGGGGGAGCGTCTCGTGCACCCGGGAGGAGGGGGCGGGGCCGGGGCGCGTTGGCCACGCCCCCTCCCCTCCTTTCTGTTCCCGGGATGCGGGGGCTACCGAGGGGGAGGGGGTCTCTTCGGGCCCGGGGGAGAGGGCGAGGGCCACTTCCTGGGAGCCGAGGCAGAGGGCGAGGGGCAACCCATCGGGGCCGGGGGAGGGGGCGAAGCCTGCTCTCTTCCGCCCGGACCCAGGCGTCCTGGGTTCCTCTGCCCCCAGCCGGGTTGACCAGTCCCCCTACCCCTTGTCTCCCCTCGCAGGGGGAGGCCCCTGGTGAGATGGGGGGGGCGCTGCTGCTGGAGAAAGAACCTCGGGGAACTGCAGAAAGAGGTAAGCATGCAGTGTATACAGGATGTCTGTCCCCCAGCCCCCTCTTCTTTCCTATTGAGAAAGTAGCCTTGTTCCCAATACCCCCTTCTTTTTTCTCTCTGGAAGTGACCCTTTCCAATAACCTGGCAGGATGGTAAGCTACCTTTGCCCGTAGATTCCTTTCCTCCCTCCTTCCTGGAAGGAATCCTGTTCCCCAGCCATGTGTGTGTCTGTGTGTGTCCCTCTGTCTGTCCATCCCTGTCTCTGTCTTTGTCCCTGTCCCTGTCTCTCTCATCTCAGCTCACTCCTCAATCTTTCTCTTATCTTCTTAGGTCTCAGCTCCTCAGGAGATAAGTCTCCTGGAGAGGAGACCCCACCCCAGGACCATCCAGAGTCTGTGGAACCCACTGGCCCCTCATCTCCTGCCTCAGTCACAGTGACTGTAGGGGATGAGGGTGCTGACACCCCAGTGGGGTCCACACCCCTCATTGGTGATGAGCCAGAGAGTCCAGAGGGAGATGAGGGCATCCACAGTGGTAGGATGTTGTTAGGTAAGGAGGTTGGGAGGGCTTGAGACTGGGGAATTCAAGGAGCAGGGAGAACTGGGCTCTCAGGTCATACCATTTTCCCTCCTCTCTCTCCCAACCGTGTTGTCCAGGCCATGCCACTAAGTCCTTTCCCTCGTCCCCCAGCAAAGGGGGCAGCGCCTGCCCAAGCCGGGCGAAGATTACCATGACAGGGGCCGGGAAATCACCTCCCTCAGTCCAGAGTTTAGCCATGCGGCTGTTGAGCATGCCTGGGGCACAAGGGGCTGGAGCTGGGCCTGAGCCTGCCCCTACCCCCACCCCTACCCCAACCCCTACCAGCCCTGAAGGGAAGCCCAAGGTCCACCGAGCTCGAAAAACCATGTCCAAACCAGGGAATGGACAGGTAAAGGACATATGCAGGGAAGGGAAGAAGTATATCTTATAATAAGGAGAGGGAGCTGGGGGGAAAAGGGGAGTCTTATCTTCCTTTCTGTGTATTCCCCAGCCTCCAGTTCCTGAGAAACGCCCCCCTGAAGTTCAGCATTTTCGAATGAGTGATGATCTTCACTCAGTTGGGGATATGGGAACAGGTATATCCTTCAACCATAGATTCTAGCATCTTTCTCACCCATGCCATTGGGACAACAGTTAACTTTGGTCTGGGGCATCAAAAATCTTGCTGAGGTTTGAGGAGAAGAACCTTACTTGACCTCTTTAATTCCAGACATTGCCAAAAGGAGGAAGCTGGACTTGGGAAGTGGAGGCCCCCACAAGAGAGGACCCCATGGCTTGGTAAGGCTGCATCAGGGACAGGACCAAGGGGCAGTAAGGGAGCTAAGAACAGAATGACAGCCTCTTTGAGAGAAAAACAAGTACTGAAAAGGAGAGAGGTGTAGAAATAGAATATTTTAGTTCCTTAGAGAAGGAATTTGCCGACAGGACGGCTCAGCTGGAGTAAGGGTGGGGAGGGGAGAGATGCTGACTCTTGGGTGGGACAGGTCTCTAATATTCAACACACTAAGGTGCCTTCTAAGGGCAAGGTACACAAGGTGATACAAAGGAGAAAGATAGTTTCTGCTATTGAGAAACTTAGTGTTTAGGAGATTTAACCACGTCTATCAATCAATCAACATTTATTAAGCTCCTACTATATATCAGGCCCTGTGCTAAATGCTGGGGATACAAAAACAGGCAAAAAATAGTCCTTGCCCTCAAGGAGCTTACAATCTAATGAGGGAGACAACATGCACACAAATATATACATAGCAAGCTATGTGCAGGATTAATAGAAAATAATTAATGGGGAGGGCACTGGAATTAAGAGGGTTGGGTAAGGCTTCCAATAAAAGATGGAATTTTAGTTGGGACTTAAAGGAAACCAAAGGTCATTAGAGCCAAGGAGGAAAAGCATTCTTGGCCTGGGGGACAGCCAGAGAAAATGCCCAGAGCCCAGAGATGCAGTGTTTTGTTTGTAGAACAGCCAGGAGGCCAGGGTCACTGGATCAAAGAGTATGAGTTTCAGAGTAGAGAATAAAAAGACTCATACCTTAGGTTATAAAGGGCTTTGAATGTCAAACAGGGGCAGCTAGGTGGCACAGTGGATAGAGCACTGGCCCTGGAGTCAGGAGGACCTGAGTTCAAATCCGGCCTCAAACACTTGACACTTGCTAGCTGTGTGACCCTGGGCAAGTCATTTAACCCCGATTGCCTTAAAAAAAATTTTTTTGAATGTCAAACAGAGCATTTTATATTTAAGCCTGGAGGCAGTAGGAAGCCACTGGAGTTTATTGAGTAGGAGGATGACATGATCAGACCTACACTTTAGGAAAATCACTTTAGTGGCTAAATAGAGGATGTATTGGAGTGGGGAACGACTTGAGGCAGGCCGACTCATCAGTAGACTGTTGTAAGTACCTAGACATGAGGTGATGAGGTCCTATGTTATCATAGTGACAGTGTCCGAGAAGGGGGCAGCAGGTTGCAAAGGTGAAATTGACAGGCTTGGCAACAGATTGGACGTGAGAGATAGTGAGCAATCCAGGATGACTCCTAGGTTTCAAGCCTGAGGAACTAGGAAGATGGTGTTGCCTTCTACAGTAATAGGAAAGGGGAGAGAGGGGAGATGTGGTTTGGGGGAAATGTAATGAGTTCCATTTTGGACATATTGATTTTAAGATGTCTACCTGACATCCAGGTCAGAATGTCTGAAAGAGTTGGAGATGTGAGATTGGAGGTCAACAGGGGGATTAGGGCAGGATAGGTAGATTTGAGGTTGACATCCTCATAGAGATGGTAATTAAATCCATAGGAGTTAATTAGGTAACCAAGTAAAGGTGAACCAGGTAAGGTAGTATATAGAAAGAAAGAGGACCTGGGACAGAACCTTGAGGGACACCTGAGAGTAACATACAGAGGTGTATCCAGATAGGTAGAATGAGAACCAGGAGAAAGTGGTGTCCAGAAAACTTGAAGAGAATATCAAGGAGGACAGAGTGATTAGCGTTGTCAAAGGCTGCAGAGAGGTTAAGGAGAATGAGGATGGAGAAAAGGCCGCTGGATTGGCAGCTATGAGATAGATCATTAGTAGCGTCAGTTTCTGTGGAATAATAAGGTGGGATACTGTATTTTGAGGGATTAAAAAGACAGAGGAGAGAAAGAGGAGGAACCTATTATAGATGACTTTTTTAAGGAATTTAGCCACAAGAGGCAGAAGAGATACAAGATGATAGTGGGGATAGAAAGATCAAGTGAGGGTGTTTTTCAGGATAGAGGAGACATGGGCATGTTTGTGGTTAATAGAGAAGCCAGTAGCCAGTGAGAGATTGAAGTGAAAGAGTGGGGATGACAGAGGAGGCAATCTGTTGTAAGAGACAGGGTGGAATGGGATCTCTTGAACAAGTAGAAGGGTTAACCTTAGTAAGGAGTAAGGCCACTTCATCCAGTGAAACGGGTGAAGTAGGAGAGAGTGGTAGGAGTATGAATGATGTCACTTCCCTACTCAGTAAACTCCTGTGGCTCCCTATTGCCTCTAGGATAAAATATGCCCCTTTGAGTTTTTAAAGTTCTTCATAACCTGGCCCTAACCTGCCTTCAGTAATGTACAGTAAGGTTCCCTTTCCACGCTCTAAGATACAGCCAAACTGGCCTTTTCTCTTCTCACACTTGACACCCCATCTCCAGTCTCCTCACTTTGCTTTGTTCAGTTTCCTCCACTCCACCTTACAGCTCAATCACCACCTTCACCCTTTTCTGATTTCCCCAAATGCTAGTGCCCTCCTTCCGACTGCCTTGTATTGTTTGTGCCTATGTGTGTGTGTCTACACACGTATCTCCTCCAGGTAGAATATAATTTCCTTTAGAGTAGGGATTGTTTCATTCTTTATATTCTCAGCATCTAGCACAGTGCCTAGCACTTAGGAAATGTTGGTTGGTTGGTTGATATACACACAAATATATCATAAGATAGAAGTTGATAAAGGCAAAGGAGATATCTTGACAAAGTATCACTCTAGGAACATGGAAGGAGGGAGAGAACACTTTTAGCTGATGGGATCTGGAAATCTTCATGGAAGGGGAACTCTTTATTTCCCAGTTGGAAGAGCTGGGGCCTGCTGGGGGGTCTGAGGACATGGCCCTGGAGAAGGAAAACCAGGAGGCCATGGAAGACTGGGATACAGATGTAGGAGAAGGCTTCAGTTTGTACTATGACTCATACTCTGTGGATGAGCGAATTGACTCAGACAGTAAGGTAAGGAGCAGCTGGGTCTGGGGTGAGGTGACCTCCCTACCACCAGCTTCTTGCCATCATTTATGATGCCTCTCTAGCCTTAGAGGCTTTAGAGAGTCTGTGTATTGTGCCTAATCTTTTCTTTGCTGACTCTGTCTCTTTTGTTCCTCCAACCATCATTTCATACTTACCTACCAGGAATGCTTCCCTGATTTACCAGACAAAACTACCTGTACACACATGCAGGTTTACACACATTTCCCTGAGCCCTGATGTCACAGTTGTCCTGTTTCTGTATTGACTTGTCCAGTTGAGAGCTCCCCAAGGGAGAGGACTGCCTCCCCATCAGACTCCCCACCATATCACCCAAAGGACAAGACCTTTGATCTGAGGGTCACCCTCCCACAGCCCCATCTTCTTCTCCCTTTCTAGTCTGAGGCAGAGGTCTTGGCTGAGCAGTTGAGTGAAGAAGAAGAGGAGGAGGAGGAGGAAGAAGAAGAAGAGGAGGAGGAGGAAGAGGAGGAGGAAGAAGAGGAGGAGGAGGAAGAGGAGGAGGAAGAAGATGAGGAGTCTGGCAATCAGTCCGATAGGGTAAGGGTCGGATATCAGGGTCTGTAAAGGAAGTCTAGGCTTAGGAACAGAGAAGATAAACTTGCATACCCAGGTTCCGATTCTTCCCCCTCCCCCTCATCAGAGTGGTTCTAGTGGTCGACGAAAAGCCAAGAAAAAATGGCGGAAGGACAGTCCTTGGGTGAAGCCCACCAGAAAACGTCGAAAGCGGGAAACACCACGTGCCAAGGAGCAGCGGGGTAATAATCCAGATTAAGTTCCTGTCCCCCCAAATCCTTGTTCTCCTCACATACACATCCCTGCCTTGGTTTCCCCCAACTTTTCATCTCTTTCTCTCCCTCTGTACTAGGGGTGAATGGTGTTGGTCCCTCTGGCCCCAGTGAGTATATAGAGGTGCCTCTGGGGTCTCTGGAGCTACCCAGCGAGGGGAACCTTTCTCCCAACCATGCTGGTAATTGGGAAAATGGGGGAGCTGATTCAGGGAGCCTTGGGTGGGATAAGCTAAGGGTAAGAGTAATAACTCAAGACTAGCAATCACAGCATAACCAATGGTGGCAGAAGAAGAGAGTTCCTGTTACTGGAAGGGATGGGATTAAATTTTTTGTTGTTTTTTTTTTTAAGAGCAGTTTTGATCTATTGGGTAGATTAGTTGGGCAGAGAAAGGGAAGGGTACAGTCACTGATCCTAACTGGATGAAAAAACCAGCCAGTAAGATGAAGGGAGTTGGGGGGCAGAAGTAATGTCTGGGTCTCCCTATGACTTTTTGTCTTTCTGCATCCCTTTGCCCCGAGGGGTGTCAAATGACACATCATCCCTGGAGACGGAGCGGGGGTTTGAGGAGTTACCCCTGTGCAGCTGCCGCATGGAGGCTCCAAAGATTGACCGGATCAGCGAGAGGGCTGGGCACAAGTGCATGGCCACAGAGAGCGTGGATGGAGAGGTGGGTCTGGACTCACAGGGAAGACAGAGAACGGGGTGGGAGGTAATGACAGCAGATAGCTAGTTATGAGTCGGATCTTTCAAGTCCTTTCTAACTGTGAGTTCTGGTGGATATCCAGTGGGTGGGAGGGTAGGGAGTGTGGGTGGGCTGGGGGAAAACTGGGGAAGAGTAACAGGGAAATAATGGGATCCTCAGCTTGTCTTTTCCGCTTCTATGCCTTAACTGTTCCTCGTCTTTTTTCGTCTGCCGCTCCTCTGCTCACACCCTGTCCTCCAGCTGTCGGGCTGTAGTGCAGGAATCCAAAAGCGGGAAACAATGAGGCCTTCGAGCAGAGTAGCTCTGATGGTCCTCTGCGAGACACATCGAGCCCGGATGGTCAAGCATCACTGCTGCCCAGGCTGTGGCTATTTTTGTACAGCGGTGAGGAGGGATATTGGTAGGGCTATGCAAATCCCCAGGACAGGGTAGGGGAGGGAGGTTGCTGGGCAGACGACCAGACCTCCATGGGGAGGGAGGAGTTGGAGGGAACCATGAAGCTGGGTCATTTATTTGGGTCCTAATACCGTTGCCCCAATCCCCCCCCCAACAAGGGCACATTCTTGGAGTGTCACCCTGATTTCCGAGTGGCCCATCGATTCCACAAAGCCTGCGTGTCCCAGCTGAATGGGATGGTTTTCTGCCCCCACTGTGGGGAGGACGCTTCTGAGGCCCAGGAGGTGACAATTGCCCGGAGTGATGGGGTGGCCCCACCTCCTGGCACTGCTGCTCCTGTCCCCCCACCCCCTGCCCAGGATGCCCCTGGACGGGCCGACACTTCCCAGCCCAGGTACCCCTCCCCCCCAGAAAAAAAGAGCCCTCTCCCTTTGTAGGCTCTTCTTCACCTATTATCTTTCATTTCCATTTCTACTTACCTTTTAAACCCTTACCTCTTTATCTCACGTTCTCTTACTTTTCTCTCCCCATTCCCTCCCCTTGTCCTTTCATACCTTCCTTTACCTTTCCATGCTCTTTCCCTCCCCTCTCTCCCCCTTCCTCTGTCTTTTCTGCTGTACCTCTTCTTCCCCTTTCGTTTCCCCTTTCCTTCCTTCCCTCCTTGTCCTTTTCTTTCTTCCTTCCTTTCTTTCCTTCTTTCCTTCCTTCCTTCTCATCCTTTCCCTGGGATATGAGAGTCTTTTCCCTTTCCCTAGTCTTTTTTCCCTCCCTGGGACATAAGAGCCCGTCTCCCCACACCTCTTCTGTTTCCCCAGCGCCAGGATGCGAGGTCATGGAGAACCAAGACGCCCCCTCTGCGACCCACTGGCTGATACCATCGACAGCTCAGGCCCTTCCCTGGCATTGCCCAATGGCAATATCCTCTCAGCTGTAGGTCTAGGGGCTGGCCCAGGCAGAGAAGCCCTGGAAAAGGCACTAGTCATCCAGGAGTCCGAGCGGTGAGAGAAACTAATGGCTGGCGGATGCACAGATAGCTGGGTCTCTGAAGGGAGAGGGATCTTTTTTTAGTAGACTCATACTTAAGGATGAGTAAAAGAATGGTGTCTCAAGGAAGAGGCGTTTGATGAGGGACTCAGGGTGTTAAGCTCTTAAGTCTCCCTGTTCCATCCCCTTCCCCTCTCCCTCTCCCCCTGGCAGAAGGAAGAAGCTTCGCTTTCATCCCCGGCAGTTGTACCTGTCTGTGAAGCAGGGGGAGCTGCAAAAGGTCGTCCTAATGCTCTGTGAGTGTCCACCCCAGCCCAAGGTTCTCTCTCTGTCCATCTGTCCCTCTCCCTCAGTCTCTCTCTGTGAATGACACTCTTCCCCCCCCCCGCCCATAGTGGACAACCTGGACCCCAACTTCCAAAGTGACCAGCAGAGCAAGCGCACACCCCTGCATGCAGCCGCACAAAAGGGCTCTGTTGAGATCTGCCATGTGCTCCTGCAGGTAAGAGCAGGCCAGGCCTTCGGTGTCTGACGGTCCCCTTTCCTTGCCCACAGAATTTAGGATCCAGGGCCTCTCCTCCCACTGTCTCCCCTTCATCCTAGTCACTGAGGGAGGCCCTCATCCTTATTTGACCATCTCTTCCAGCCCTCAGCCGTCATTTCCCTGGCCCATCTCCTTTTGTCCCCCCTGCCCTGTTCCAGTTCCCACTCTCTCCTGGAATACCCCTACATGCGCGCGCGCGCACACACACACACACACACACACACACACACACACACACACACACACACACACACACACACACACACACACACACACACACACACACACACACACACACACACACACACACACACCCCCCACGTTGTCATTTCTACCTTACCAGTACCTTTTATGCCCATCCCCTTCTCACCACTCACACAGACACCGTCCTAGTTCAGGCCCTCACTGCCTCTCACCTGGACTATTGCAATAGCCTTCTTCTTGGTCTTCCTGCCTCAAGTCTCTCCTCACTACGATCCATCCTCCATTCAGCCTCCAAAGTGATCTTCCCGAGCCACAGCTCTGACCATGTCACCCCAGTAGCTCCAAGATCAACTATAAGGTCCTCTCTTTCGCATTTAAAGCCATTCCCCAATCTGCTCCTTTTCTATCTGTCTTCCCCATCTTACACTGTACTCTGTCCCACCCACTGTATGATCTAGCTATACTGTCTTATGTGCTGCTCTGTACACACTCCAACTCCTTATTCCATGGCTTTGCACTGCCTGTCGCCTAGGTACAGAGTATTCTGCCCCATCATCTCCATCTCTTAGCTTCCCTGGCCTCCTTTAAGACTCAGCTCAGATCCCACCTTCTACAGGACACCCTTCCTGGTCCCTCTAGATGCTAATTCCTTACCGCCAAGATTACCTTTCACCTACCCTGTACGTAGCTAGTATGTACCAAGTTATTTGCATGTCGTCTTCCCCCATTAAAATAGAAGCTTCTTCGGGAAGGGACCCTTTTTTTGTCTTTCTTTGTATTCTCAGTGCCTGGCGTATAATTATTGCTCAATAGAGGCTTGTTGACTAACTAACCCTTTTTCCTACCTGCCAGGCTGGAGCAAATATCAATGCTGTGGATAAGCTGCAACGGACCCCTCTGATGGAGGCTGTGGCCAACAACCACGTGGAAGCCGCTCGATACATGGTACAGCGAGGAGGCTGTGTCTATAGCAAGGTGGGCACCTCAGCTGGCTGGTGGGCACAGTTGTACTGGTCTGAGTGGTGCAGTGGGAGATGTGGCAAGGGGTTATAGATAAGGTGAAGGAGAAAGAACAGGAGGTAGCTGTGTGTGTTCCTTGGGGGCAAGGGCTCTGTAAACTTGGATGAGAAAAAAAAATTGCATCTTTATTTTTAGTAGCCCCTAACTGAAATTTAACATTTCCTTCAAATATTTTTTGTAAGTGTCAAGTGTCTGAGGCCGAATTTGAATCAGGTCCTCCTGACTCCAAGGCCACTGTGCCACCTAGCTGCCCCTCCTTCAAATAGTTAAAAACATCATTCTGAGGAGTCCATAGGTTTCACTGGGCTGCCAGAGGGGAACTGTGTCTCCCTGCCTTGTCCAAGCTCCCCCCTCTCCTCAAAAAAAAAATGTGAGCACCTCTGCTTGGGGTATTAAAGGTCTGTGTGCACTTGTCTTCCCAGGAGGAAGATGGTTCTACTTGTCTTCACCACGCAGCTAAGATTGGCAACCTGGAGATGGTCAGCCTGCTGCTCAGCACTGGCCAGGTGGATGTAAATGCTCAGGTCAGTGACCTGTGGTTCTCCCCCTCGCCTCTGTTCCCCGTCTTTGTCTTTTAATTGTTCTGAGTGTTTCTGTGTCTCCAGTTGCTGCCTCTCTCCCTTCACCTTTTTGTGTATGCTCTTTTTGTCATTCATTCTCCCATCTCTGTTCTTCTTTGACTCTCTTTTTCCTGCACGGTAGTGACTTGTTCTCTGTCTCTGCCTGTCACTGTCTCTTCTCTGGTGCCACTTACTGCCTAAGCCCCACCTCCAGCCCATGTATCTCTCCCTGCCTTCCTGTGTTGTGCTTTGTCTTTGTTGGTATCCATCACTAGTCTCTCCCATACTGTCTCATTCTCCCCCTAGATTGCTCCTCTCCCAACCTCTGTCTCCCATGTCCCATCTCTCTTGCACTTCTCTCCTTCCCTGTTTGTGTTTTTCTGTGTCTCTCCAAGAGAGAGAGAGAGTGTGTGTGTGTGTGTGTGTGTGTGTGTCTTTCTCTGAGAAGGGGAGGCTCTGAGAGAAGGGGAAACCCATGCCTCTCTTTTTAACCAGATACTGCTATAGGAGACGTGACTGGGCCCCAACACTTACCTGCCTCTTTTTACTCCTTCCAGGATAATGGGGGCTGGACACCCATTATTTGGGCAGCTGAACATAAACATATTGAAGTTATTCGGATGCTGTTGACCCGAGGAGCAGATGTTACCCTCACTGACAATGTAAGAGAAAACATGTGGGTACCCAAGGGTGGAGCAAAGTAGGATGATATCTTGGAATCCTTGGATATCTCACATTTCTTCATTTTGTACCTCCCTGACTTAGTAATATGCTATTGGGTATTGGTTTTACCCTTATTCATTTCAGATTCCTATACTACACCAATAAGCCCCACGATGGCAGGAACTAAGTCTTATTTAATCTTTGAACTTCTCCAGTGCCTAGCGGGTGATTGGTCATTGTTTGTTTTTGTTTTTTTCACTTTAACTGAGCCTTGGGGACCAGATATCCTGAACCAACTCCTATATCTTTCCCTTGTCCTCAGGAAGAGAACATCTGTTTGCACTGGGCATCCTTCACAGGCAGTGCTGCTATTGCCGAGGTCCTACTGAATGCCCGCTGTGACCTCCATGCAGTCAACTATCATGGCGACACACCCTTACATATCGCTGCTCGAGAGAGTTACCACGACTGTGTGCTGTGAGCATCTCCCACACCCCAGAGCCTGTGCCCTGGGTTCCCCATTCTTCCTCTTCTCTTCCCTTCTGTCCATCCCTCTTCTGCTTCTCTCATTGGCTCCTGCCGCATATTCCTTACTGCTTTCCTTGTTCTACCCCTTCAGGCTTTTCCTGTCCCGGGGTGCAGATCCAGAGTTACGGAACAAAGAAGGAGATACGGCATGGGACCTGACCCCTGAGCGCTCAGATGTCTGGGTGGCCCTGCAGCTCAACCGAAAGCTTCGCCTTGGTGTGGGTAACCGAGTACTGCGGACAGAAAAGATCATTTGCAGGTGGGGGTTCCTAGAGTCACCTGTCCATTTAATTGCTCCCCCAAAAGGGTCTGGGTGGGGTCTCATCCCCTCAGCCATATTGCTTCTCTTCCCCCTAGAGACGTAGCTCGAGGTTATGAGAACGTGCCAATCCCCTGTGTCAATGGAGTGGATGGGGAGCCGTGCCCAGAAGATTACAAATACATTTCTGAGAACTGTGAAACTTCAACTATGAATATTGACCGAAACATCACACACCTGCAGGTGAGTGGGTTGGGAAAGATCCCCCAGACTTCTTGATATCCTAAGTCTAACATTTCAGAGATCCTTAGCCAGTTTCCTGATTCACCTCCAGTAGTGTCAGAGGGCACCCTCTTAGCCCAGTCCCATTGCGAACTCCTGACAGCTCTACCCAAAGCGTTGCTCCCATGCCATGTAGACAAAAGCCTGATGATCTCTGACAGAATGAGGGCTCTGGGCTGTGGAGGGGGAGCGTTCTAGAGGCTGGAGGGCAGGACACCTGGGTCCTGGACTTAGAGGATTATGACCCCAGTGTCCTCACTCCTAGCACTGCACCTGCGTGGATGACTGCTCGAGTTCCAACTGTCTCTGTGGCCAGCTCAGTATACGGTGTTGGTACGACAAGGTGAGTGAGCTTCCCGACCCCCTCATTTTCTAAAGAGCCCTCATGTCCCTGGGAGGAGTCCTCCCCCCAACTTCCAGTGTTCATTTTCTATCCCTTCCTAAGGAGGAGGAGCTGTCCAGGACAGAGGGGGCTCAGAGAGGAGGAAGTCTTCCCTTCATGGGGATTCTCTCTCCCCTTCCCCGATCCCAAACCAAGGGCAACAGAGAACATTTGTTAGGAAACTGCCATTTTTGTTGATATATGCAGATAACCTTCAAATGGCCCTGTATTTGTCCTGCTTCTTATACCAACATGCCCTTCTCCTCCTCCTCTTCCTCCCCCTCCCCTCCCCCTCCCCCTTCCCCCTCAACTAGCCCCTTCCCATGGGATGGGATGAAAGATTGGGAAGGAAGAACAACAAGTGGTCTGCCATCAATACCACTGTCTCTTCTCACCTCTCCCCTTTTCCTCTGGAACCAGGATGGACGTCTGCTTCAGGAGTTTAATAAGATTGAGCCCCCCCTGATCTTTGAATGTAACCAGGCCTGCGCCTGCTGGAGAAGCTGCAAGAATCGAGTGGTACAGAGTGGTATCAAGTGAGGATGCCTGCCTTTCAGCCGCCCACTCCTTCCGGACCCTGGGGACCCAGGCATCCTTAATTCCCTACTGCAGTTTTAGCCTTGCCTCTTGAGTGAAGTGTGAATAGTGGGGCACCCTTTGGTCCTAGGGCTCTCTCTTCCCTCCCCATGACACACCTTCCCATATTTTTCTCCTTGGGAGGTCCCTCTGAGAGATACAATGGAAAAAGTACTGGATTTTGGGAGTCAGAGGACCTGGGTTCAAATCCCACCTATGAATGGGAGTTGCTTCTGAGTGACCTTGAGAAAGACACTTTACTTCAGCTCTAAATCTAGAATCCTCTTTCTGTCTTTGCCCTGGATGTCTTCCTGTCCATCCCCCTGTCACAACACTCCATGCCTTTTCCCTTCTCCCCACCCTCCAGGGTTCGGCTACAGCTCTACCGTACCGCCAAGATGGGTTGGGGTGTCCGTGCATTGCAGACCATTCCCCAGGGTACCTTCATCTGCGAGTGAGTGTGCTGGGGACCGCCCACAAGGGAGTGTGGAAGGGTTTGAGGAGGGCAAGGGCTGGGACTTTTTGGTGCAATAAAAAGGAGAGGCTATCTGATGTGTGGATAGAAGGCTAGACTTGAGTCAAGATGGCCTGGTGTCAGGTCTTACCCCTTGATACATACTAACTTTGTGACCCTGAACAAATTACTTAAACCTCTTAGTGCCCTCAAGCACCATTTAGAAAACTAAATTACAGAATAGTTGCTGACCTGCATTGGTGGAAAAAATTTTCGCAAAAGGCATTCCCTACAGCCGTGAAATCACAGGCCTAGAAAAAAAAAATTGAGCTTGGATTACAGCTTTAGATAGGGGTGAAAGTGGCTTTAGAGGTCATCTAATCCAACCTCCTCATTGTACAGATAAGGAAATAGGCTCAGAGATTAAGTGACTTGGTCATAGTCACAAAAATAGTAAAGGGGGAGGGGTAAAATTTGAATTGGGTCCTCAAAATTCCAAACAAGAGCCCCTTCCCCTAAACATATGTCCACACATAGATATCTCTAGGAGAAAACTGCTCACTATGAATTTGTGCTGTTTTCACCTCTTCCCTTGCTGTTACTTACTCACCAGTCCTGTTATTCACCTACTTTTAATTCCCTAGTATACTTTGCACTACTGTTATTACACACCTTCCCAGTCTCCAGTCCCCTCGCTCTCTGAACAGACAATTTCACTAAGTGCTTTAATAAGAAAATAAAAATCGTCCTATTCTGAGCTGCCTCACCTTCCTAACTTGCCACCCCATGTCTCTTCATCCACCCTCACTTTTTCAAGTTGAAATCTGTCCACCTAAACTCATGGTCCTACCCGGTGACACCCTGTCCTACATCATGGTCCCCTAACTCTTACCTGATCTTCTATCATGCTTTCAGTCTTCAGTGTCTTCAGTCTCTGGTTTGAGTCTTCTCCCCTCCCCTCCTTTTTAAAAATATTTGAATGGCACTTTCAAACTACTGTCCTATATCTTTTCCCTTTTTAAAAAACAAATATTTTATTTGTTTTAATCCACCAAGATCTACCTTCTCACCCTCTCACCTCAACTCTCCTCCCAGTTGAGAACATGAGAAAAACAAAATCCATTACCAGCATGTATAGTCAATCAAAATAAGTTGGATGTTGGCCATGTCCAAAAAGAATTAGTCTCATTCTGCATTCTGAGTCATTCACCTCTGTATCTGGAGGTAGGCAGCATGTTTCATTATTAATCCTCTGGAATCTTGATTGGTTATTACGCTGATAAGAGTTCACATACAACAGTATTCCCGTAATTTGTTCACCCTGTTCCTCAGTTGTGGGCATTCCCTCATTCCCGTCCTTTCCCCACCCCTCTCCTCCTGTTTTCCTATTGAGCAAAATGGATTTATGTACCCAGCTTTGTATGTGTGTATTCTTGCTTCCAGATAAGTTCTGATGACTATAAGATTCAAGTGTAAGCCATTACCTATTCCCCCCCCCCCCCCGTGCCCTTATAGATGTCTATCTTCGTACCTTGGTACCTTGGAGAAGATGATCTTACCAGTTCCCCATATCTAAATGTAAGCAGTTTATCTTTGTTTCGGCTTTTATCATTGTTCATTCATGTTTATGTTTTTTTATGCTTCTCTTCACTCTTGTGTTTGAACTAATGAGTTTCTCTTCAGCTCCTCTCTTTATCAGGAATGCTTGGAAATCTAGTTCATTTTTTTCCCCCTGTAAAATTTTACTCAGTTTTCTGGGTAAGTTATTCTTGGCTGAAAAGCCATATCTTCCACCTTCTGGAATATTATATTCCAAGTTTCCTGCCTTATAGTGGTGGTTGCTAAATTGTGTGTGATTCTGACTCTAGGGCTCCTCAGTATTTTGTGTCCTTTCTTCCTGTTTCCAGGATTTTTTCTTTGACCCAGGAGGTTCCTAGCAGTTTTCATTTGGGGCTTTCTTTCAGGAGGTGACTGATGGATTCTTTTTATTTGCACTTTGCTCTTTGGTTCTAAGAGAGATAAGCAGTTGAAAGATTTCTTGAAGTAGAATGTCATTGGCCCTTTTTTGGTCTTGGTGTTCACATAGTCTAGTGATTCTTTAATTTTCTTCTCCTTGATCTATTTCCAGGTCAGTTGTTTTTGCTATGAGATACTTTGCATTTTCTTACCCCCCCCTTTTTTTTTTTCAGTCTTTTGACTTTGTTTTAATATTTCTCATTGCTTCATAAAGTCATTGGCTTCTGTTTGGTCTATTGGGGGAGGTTTTGTACTTCTTGTGCCACAGTGTTAATTCCCTTTCCAATTCTTTTTTCTGTAGCTTTCATTTCTTTTTCTAATTTTTTTCCTCAAGATTTTCATTCCATTTTTATAAAAATATCTTTAACTCTTTTTTTTAAACTCTTGCTTCATCTCTTCCACCATAATAGCTATTTATGGTGCGGTTCTTTTTTTTTTTTCTCTCTCATTCTTCAAGCCCATTTCCTGACTTTGGACTAAATGTTAGGGGAAGGCTCTATCGCACTTCTGGAAGGAAGGTCTAGGCTGGTCCAACAAAGCTGTCAGTTGGCACCTGTCCTTGTGACAGTGCCCCAATATGGGTATGCAGTCTCCTTTTGTGGTGATGTGCAGCCTGTCCTTGGACATTGGAGTCTTCCATTTGTGACAGTTGCCCCTGTTCTGACCCTGTTCCCAGTGTCTACAGATCTCTCTGTCTCCCTATGCCAACCTGGTCCAGATGAATGATGCATTGTAACTTTTTCTGGATTTCTCCATCAGGATTCAGGCTGGTGAATTTTATAGATCTATTAGGAGCAGTTGTAGACAGGAGCTCGGCTGCCTTAACTTCCTGCTACTCTACTATCCTGGTTTCACAACCCTTTAATCTCCCCATTTAATGTTCTAGCTTCTCCAGAGAGTCATCTTTATAGCCAGTGCTTCCACTTTATCGTGCCCAATTCTCCTTAACCACTTGCAGCCTGGCTTTTACCCCTACCAGAAAACCAAAACCATTCTCACAGAGGTCACTAGTAATCTTATCCACCATATTCACTCTTTTAAAAGTCCTTTAAAAAGTCTTCATCCCTCTTAATCTTTTTTTTTTAAAGGCAGTCAGGGTTAAGTGACTTGCCCAGGGTCATGTAGCTAGTAACTGTCAGAGGCTAGATTTGAACTCAGGTCCTCCTGATTCCAGGGCCAGTGCTCAGTCCACGGCATCACCTAGTTGTCCCCATTCCCCTTAATTTTTATCATCTCCCCAGCACGTGATGCTGTTGACCACTCATTCCTACTGAATACTCTCCTCCTTTGGCCTTCATGACATCATCTTCTGATCCTTCTGATGCCACTCCTTAGCATTCTTTCTTTCTCTATCATTCCCTGACTCTTCTTCCTCATCCTACCCCTGAAAGGTAGTTCTTTCCTCAGAGCTTAGCTGTTCATCTTCTTTTGTCTCACTCTTCCCTCTCTGCACACACACATCTTTCCCCTTTCTTCTCCCCTTCAGACCTCATCTATTGTCATGCTGTCATGGCCTCTACTGTCATCTCCCAAATCTACATTTTTAATCCTAACCTCTCTCCTGACCTTCAGTCTTACATCTTCAGCTTTCTACTACAAGTTTCCACTTTAATGTTCCAACAGCACTTCATATTCATCAATATACCAAACTCCTCATCATCTTCTCTCTAAGAGTGACCTCCTAGTTGCCTAGATCCCAAACCTCAGTCACCTTGGAGTCCTGCCTTCTTTCTTTTTTTTAAGGCAGTTGGGGTTAAGTGACTTGCCCAGGGTCACACAGCTAGTAAGTGTCAAGTGTTTGGTCGGAGGCCAGATTTGAACTTAGGTCCTCCTGACTTCAGGGCCAGTGTTTTATCCACTGTGCCACCTAGCTGCCCCTCCATCACATCCAGTAGTCAGTCTCCAAGTCCTGCAAATTGTCCTTCGATCTCTTACATCTGTTTTTTCTTTTCTTCCTCCACTGCCGCCTGCCATGTCCAGCTTCTAAACGTAGCTCAATCATAAAGTATTTACCATGATTTCCTAGCTGATTTATCTTCCTGTAGTCTCTCCTCCACTTAAAAATCTATTCTAAACATACTACTAGATTAATTCCATTAATCCAGTCAGCCAACACTGTCTTCCCAAAGCATCACTATTAACTTGTCTGTCATATCACTGTCTTGCTCAAAAGTATTGAGGAACCCCTCACTTAACTTGGCATTCAAGGTTGCTATAGTCTATATTCACTCGCTATGCCGTTAAGCTCCCCCTACCCCATTACTTCCTTGTTCTTATTCTACTCAATTAAACAATAAATTCAGTTAACATCTGTTATACACCTACATTCCCATCCTTCATGAATTCTAAAGTCTGACAAGGAGGTAGGGCATAAACACAGAATTCTAATTGGCAGTATTGTAGAAGTACATTAGAAGTGCCTTGTAGGGTTACTGACCAGGGAGATCAAGGAAGGCTTCATAGAGGGGGGTAACATTTAAGTTGGAAGGATAGGTAAATGCTGACAGGTGATAGACTCAAGATGCAGAATGAGATAGGCAGTTTTGGATATGGCCACTTCAAGAATTTGTTTTGTTTGACTATAACTATTTATTACAAGGGTCTTAACTTTTATTTTTTTCCCCCAATGGAAGGGAGGGTACAAGCTGAGAAAATGAAATTTAAAATAAAGGATGAATAAAAGCCCACTAGTGTTATGTAATGAGAGCTAAAGGCCAGGATTCAGATCTCATCTTTGACCCCAGACTATACCTCTCAGTGTCCCCCAGGCAGCTCTGTATAAGACCATAACGTCTTAAGGTGCAGAGGAGATGCTGAAAAGGTTCCCCACTCCCATGAAATCATAGGTCTGGTCAAAAAAATGAATGAGTAGGGGGCAGCTAGGTGGTGCAGTGGATAAAGCACCAGCCCTGAAGTCAGGAGGACCTGAGTTCAAATCTGACTTCAGACCAAACACTTGACACTTACTAGCTTTGTAACCCTGGGCAAGTCACTTAACCCCAATTGCCTTAAAAAATAAATCAATAAATGAGTAGGCAAAGTCTGTTGGTGGAAGGAGAACATTTCTTTTTGTAGGATGTAACAGGAGCAAAAGTGATAGTGGGATATGGGGACAGAGAGCAGTTCCAGACTGACTGGAACATAGGAATGTACTGTAAAGGTAGGATGGGGAGAGGCTGATATGACATAAGGCTGTAAAGGGAGAGTGGTACCAGATTGTGAAGGACCTAAATCAGTCAGTCAACAAATACTCATTAAGCTATGCCTGGTGCTATTCTAAGTTCTAGGGATACATGTATGAAGAATAAAACAAACCTCACTCCTGCAGTGAGTTTACATTCTAAAGTGACTAAATATAACTATATACATACATGTGTGGATACAGACATATACTTACTGAATGCCAAACAAGGAATTTAAACTTTACTCATTAAGCAGTAAGAGGCCCAGGAAGCTTTTGAACAGATCTGTGTGTAAGAAATACTCTGGTAGCAGTGTGAAGGATGGATTAGAGGACAGAGAAAATAAGGCTTTAGCTAGCTATTGAAGCTGTGCAGGCTGGTGCTCTTGAGGTCCCTTAAACTGTGAGCTTCTCAAAGGTAAAGATTGTCTTTTGCCTTTTTTCTATCCCCAGCACAGTACTTGGCACATAAGTGGGCACTTAATAAATGTGTACTGATTGAACAGTAAGTAGGATGATGGCAGTAGAATGAATGGAGAGAGGAGATAGATATAAAATTAGCCTATTTGTATCCTAAATATGCCTTGGCTTAGGACGTTCACCCTACCTGAAATGCCCTGCCACAGGAGTGGGGAACCTGCAGCCTCGAGGCCACATGTGGCACTGCAGGTTCTCAATTGTGGCCCTTTGAATCCAAGTGTGTTTTGGATTCAGTCAAAGGGCTGCACCTGAGGACCTAGAGGGCCACATGTGGCCTCAAGGCTGTAGGTTCCCCACCCCTGACCTACACCCATCCAATATTACCCATTTTAATAGCCCAACAGAAGTGTTTCTTTTCTTTTTTTTTCTTTTTAATTAATTTTTAATTTTCAATATTCACTTCCACAAGATCTTCAGTTCCAAATTTTCTCCCCATCTCTCCCCTCCCCCCACCCCAAGATGGCATACATTCTGAATACCCCTTCCCTAATCTGCCCTCCCTTCTATCATCCCCTCCCCTTCCTATTTTCCTGTAGGGCAGGATAGATTTCTATACCCCATTGCCGGTATATCTTATTTCCCAATTGCAGGTAAAAACAATTTTTAACATTTGTTTTTAAAACTTTGGGTTCTGAATTCTCTCCCTTTCTTCCTGCCCACCCACCCTCGTTGAGAAGGCAAGCATCTCAACACAAGTGTTTATAATCATAACATCCCACAATGATCTGGGGCTCCCAATAGTACCTAGTATCTGAACCACTGCAGGAATGAGGATGGGTGAGGTGAGGTTAGGAAGGATGACAGATTTGGAGTGGGGACAGAGTCCTTCAGAGAAATTGAAAAGGATAGTGCAAGAATAAGTCACAAAAGGTTAGAAGTGGGGATTAGAGTGTGTAGTATGTGGGGACCTGTGGACAAACTTACCCTCCTCTGTATCCCTCTCAGAACTCCTCTCTTCCCCCTACTGGATTAGGTATGTTGGGGAACTGATCTCAGATGCTGAGGCAGATGTTCGAGAAGATGATTCTTACCTCTTTGACCTGGACAACAAAGTGAGTAGATTGGGATGAGGGGGGAGGCCTTAACCTGTTTCCTCTCCAGTGCCTCCCTTAAATCTTGAGTTGGGTCAGCAAGAAATGATGCAGCATCAATAACTACGTTGAGACTTCGGCCCAGTAGCAAGGAGTGAGATAGGGGAGGTAACCAATCCACATTTTCTCCAGGATGGAGAGGTGTACTGCATTGATGCCCGATACTATGGCAACATCAGCCGTTTTATCAATCATTTGTGTGACCCTAACATCATCCCAGTTCGAGTCTTCATGCTGCACCAAGACCTCAGGTTCCCCCGAATTGCCTTCTTCAGTTCTCGAGACATCCGGACGGGCGAGGAGCTAGGGTGAGGGGGATGCAAGGGTTCCCTGGGGTGGCTGGAAGGGTGGGCAACTGGATCTTTAATGAGGCAGCCAGGTGTAGTCCCTAAAGAGTCGGGGGAGACAATGTGAGGGAGGGGAAGTGTGGGGCCCAGGAGGCCTGGGTTCCAGGAATAGCATCCAAATCCCACAGTAAGCTCTGCCACCTTTCTACTTGTATGACTTTGGGAAAGTTGTCACATCCCAGCTCTAAAATGAGGATTTGGGGCCAGATCATGGGTTTTAACCTGTGGGGTTTGTGGATAGATGGATTTGGATGGGGGGAAGAAATGACATCTTTATTTACACTTAACCTGTACTGAAATTTACCATCTCTTTCAATTATGAATGTAGGCAACAAACCTGTAGTAATATGTTTCTATAGACTGTCAAAGTTGCCCACAACACAAAACAATTTAAGGATCCCTGGACTAAATTATCTCTAAGGTCCTTTTGAACTCTACATTGTATGGTCCTATGACCCTAATGTGCTCTCTGCTAGCCCTCAGAGGGTTCCTCAGGTACTCTGGCATTCTCTCAGAATCTCCCAAGTGACAGGCAAAGAGCTCCCTGTTACACCCCTCTCCTTGCCCCCTAAAGGTTTATATTTGCTGCTGTCTCCAATCTTGGGTTGGGTTTAACATGAGGCTTGGGCCTAGTTAGCCAGAGCTTGAGTCCCTAAAAAGTGGCCAAAGAGGATGAAAGCTGGGGCGAAAGCTTCTCGGGCGGGTAGGTAGGCAGATTAAAAACCCGGGAAGACTTGAGGTCTAGATCCCAAGTTCCCCTGATCTTCCTGGCAGGTTTGACTATGGTGACCGCTTCTGGGACATTAAGAGCAAGTATTTCACCTGTCAGTGTGGCTCTGAAAAATGCAAGCACTCAGCAGAGGCCATTGCCCTGGAGCAGAGCCGCCTGGCCCGTCTGGATCCCCACCCAGAACTGATTGCTGACCTTGGGTCCTTGCCCTCCCTCAGTTCCTGACCCCAGATCCAGTGACTTCTGGGGGGCTTCCTCACAGAGTTTCTTCTCCTGGGAATTGTTCTCACCTCTCAGAACTAGCTGCCTTTTTCCTGCCCACACACTGTCCCAAGCCATTCCTGTTCATTTGTATCACCTGTTTTGAAACTGGGATACTCTTCCCCATCAGCAAGGAATGATGGTGTCCTGTTCTGCCATAATGATTGATTCCCAGACCCAGTTCCCCACTTTGAGACAAAAGTGACCTCCTTTGTATTCCCCACTACCTATCAGAGAGAGACAGACAGACACACACACACACCCGCAATTGGATTAAAGAAAGGGCATCTTTGGGGATCTGAGCACCCAACTGGGGTGTGTCTGCAGCAGCAGCCTCACCTCCCCAGAAAGTCAAGGGCAATCTGTGCTCTCCCACCCTGAACATTGCTTCCTCCCCCATATCACTTGACCGTCATCACCCCACTCCCTGACAATTTTTTTTTTCTCAATAAATGTTTTGGTTTCGTTATAAGCTGTCTTAGTCTTAGTAAGGGGTGGAGTGGGGCAAGGTACCAGATAAGGTACCCTGCTGCCTGGGAAGAGGAGGAAGGAGGGTGGACAGATATCGGTTATGGGAGAATCCAAGAAATTATAGAAAAAAGAAAAAGAGCCATTGAGTTGGAGAAAAAAAGATTTGGGAGTATCAAGATATGGTTAGACTCCTGTGGGATAGAAGGTGAGCCTTGATCTCTGAGACAGATTATTCAAACCTCTTACTGGAATAGAACTGTATTAATTTACATCGATTTTTGAAGAGGCTCCGAGTATTGTTTAAGGTCAGGTTGCCCAGAGCCTAGCCCCAGTTTCAGCCACCTCCCTGACACCCACCTCAGTTCTTGCTTATGTTGTTAAAGATCCAGGACAGGGAAAGTTGGAAGTTGGGTACTGGTAGGCCAGGGCTTTAGGACCACAGGTAAATGGGAGGGGTAGAAATGGTGACATCAGCAGAGGAGGTGGGGCTCAGAGGCAAGCAGCAGATAAGACACTAGTTCCCTAGAGAAGGCAACAATTACTCTGGAGCCTTCCTGTAGTCATGGGGAAAGAACAAGATGAGAAGGAGGTTTATGGTAAGGCTTGGGGCTAGATGCCTAGGACCCGGAGGGTTGAAGGGTCTGGTTAAGGGAAAGCAGGAGTTTATGGAATCACGGGAGGAGCTAGATGCCTGGGACTTCAAGGGGAATTTAGGGAAATGGGCTGAAGAATTGCTGAAGGGCTGGATCCCTGGAACTCTGAAGGAAGCAGAGGTTTGAAAAAGGCTTCCTAGGTTTGGAGGGGCAAAGGGGAAACTTTAGGAAGCTGGACATAGGTAAATTATTGGGGTTTTTGAGGTAGGAAAAAGGGCAGGTGTTAAAAGGATGGACACTTGCGTCTCTGGAGGCTGGAAGAACTATGTGCTTGGGTCCTTGAGAGCTGGATGGAGGACTGGGCAGGTGGATTCCTCTGAGGGCTAGAGGGGAAAAAGGACTCCTGGGTCCCTCTGGAGCTTAGAGGAAGAATTCTCTCAGGAAATGTAACATCTAGGTTTCTGGTGGCTGGGAGAAAGTGGATTCTTGGATTCTGTAGAGGAGGGACTGGGAAACAACGCCTGAGTTACTAAAGTGAGAGGAGGATTAGAGGAAAGGGGCCATTGAGAGCACCAAAAGCCCATTTCAATTCCTATAGGGAATCAGGAAGAGGGAGGGTTTGTTTGCTGGACTTCCTGGAGACGGCTACAGGTCAATGATTGACCTCTTTCATAACAAAGAAGAACGGAGTCCAGTGGAATTGGGGAAAACAGATACCACCCCACAACCCTCTTGCCAGTCTCCTTTCCCTTGCCCCTGGGCCCTTCTCCCCCTACCCTAATCCTTCCAAAGGACCCTGGAACCCTCATGACTGCCTCTTCCCCTCCCACCATGTGTGCTGTAAGTGCAGGTGCTCCACAGAGTTTGTGTCCACAATCTGAGCAATACAGTTCCAGCTAGGCTGAGGAGGAAAGATATCCATACCCCTAAGATGGATGAGGAGCATCCCAAGGGTTAATTCTTGTGTTTATACAATCCAGAGTCCCCTGATGAAAATGATGCTAGCCTCCTGGTCTCCCTCCCAGCAGCTGCTCCTCATGCCCTGGGGGACGGGAGTGAGGAGTCCGTACTGGAAATGCTTGCCCAGAGGGCTAATAAAGAAATGAAAACTGGCAAGGAGGGAGGCGGAAGGTGGTGGGTTAAGAGTACCAGAGAGATTGATGGAGACTGGAGAGAAGATGAATAGACCCAGAATGACAGAGGTCCAAATTAGACTGGAGAGGGAGAGTCCTAAGTGGGGGGAGGGAGCAAGGTAAAGGCTATTTCCTGGGCTCCAGGCCATGGAGGTGTGAACCAGGAAAAGGTCTGATAAGCTTATAGACCCAAGGCGGGGCTGGGGGACGAGTTGCTGGCTGTTAACCTGGCTTTCCCAACTCCTTTTACTTCTCTATCCTGCTCCATTCCCTCTCACACTTATCTCTGTCCCCTTCTCCCAGTCTCTCCCTCACCATCTCTCCCTTTCTGTCTGTCTTTGGCTCTCTTCTTTCTCTGTCTCTCCTCTCTATCTCCCTCCCTCCCCTCTCTCAGGCTTTCTTTTCCTTCACTGTTTCAATGAAGTTTGGTACTTGTGAAAGGGAGTTACTTGACAGCAGGGGGTGGGGCAAAAGGTCTTGGGCTAGCCCATAAGAAGGGAAGGAATTTGTTCTGGGGAAGACAAGGTTGACCCACAAAATGACAACCAGTATATGCTAACCTGTGTGGTTCTGAGTCTCTGCTTACCTCACTCTCCCCCTCAGGGAAGCCTGTCAAATATGATCCCACTTTCAGAGGCCCCATCAAGAACAGGTAACATCTCCCCCTACCAAAATTCCTATTCCCAGATATACCCCCCACACAAACTTCTATCCAATGATTTCTCCAATTCTCCAACAACATTAACCCCCATTAGCCCCGTCCTCACTGCCTTGAAAAAAAAATTCTTTTTCATCTCTCATTCTCTCCAGGAGCTGCACTGATGTGATCTGTTGTGTCGTCTTCCTGGTGTTCATTGCAGGCTACATTGTTGTGGGGCTTGTGGGTGAGCTTTTCCTTTCCCACAATCTAAAGGTGGAGAGAGGAGGACGGGTGATGAAGAGACCACATCCCTAACACCACGGCCTTCCTCTACCTCTCTGTTTCTTTGTCCCTCAGCCTGGTTATATGGAGATCCTCGCCAAGTTCTTTATCCCAGGAACTCTACTGGGGCCTATTGTGGGATTGGAGAGAACAGGTGAGAGGACCTGAATGCCTGGGTCCCTGAGGGAAGGAGGGGCTGAGGATGGATGCTCTTCTTCCACCTGACATTAGCTCCCTCCTCCCCTCCTACTTGAAGAATCCTCCCCCATCCTTCAAGACCCACCTTGAGTCCCACCTTCTCCATCAAGTACTCCTGGCTTCTCCAGCCCACAGAGAGCTCTCCCTGCTCAGTGCCCGCATTGTTCTTAAAGTCAGCACTGTATCATTTGGCACCCAGTTGTTATCTGTTTTGTGTCAATCTTTGTGTCTTGTTACCCCCTAGATTATAAACTCCTTGAGGGCAGAGACAATGTATTTCCTCCCCCAACAGCTCAGGGCTTGGTGCCAAACAGTTAACTGTAGGGCCTTTTTTTTCCTCTATAAAATGACAGGGTTTGTACTAGATCTTTAAGGTCCTATGGGGCCAAATCAATTCAACAAACACTTCTTAAATGACCAAAGCATTATATAGGCAATACAAAAAATAAAAAATAGCACAATACTTATTCTCAAGGAGCTTACAATCTATAAAATCTATAGTATATGTTAGAAAATTACTCAGGATATAGGGAAGTTTAAACTTTATCACCTGAGAGGTTCAAGGAAGGAAAATGTGGTACTTTGGAGGAAACACTGATTCTGGGCTCAGAGGAACCAAGTTCATATCCTGCCTCCAAGGTTTTGGATTCCCTCTGTCTCAGTTTGATCATCTGTAAAACAAAGGACTTGAAGTAGTTGTTGCTGTCCAGTGATGTCCAACTCTTCCTGACTCCATTTGGGTTTTCCTGGCAAAGATACTAGAGTGGTTTGCCATTTCCTTCTCCAGCTTATTTTACAAAGGAGGAAACTGAGGCAAACAGGGTTAAGGGACTTGCCCAGGGTCACACAGCTAATAAATGAGACCAGATTTGAACTCTGGAAGATGAGTCTTCCTGACTACAAGCCCTGAACTCTCTCCACTGAGCCACCTAGCGCCCCTTGATTTATGAAGGAGCCTCTGATTCTCTGAGTCTGTAGCTGACTGACCAGGGCTTATGGTCCTGCCTTTTCTCCTTACAGAGAGAAGCCATACCTCTATTACTTCAATATCTTCAGCTGTATCATGGCTACTACTATTATTACAGCCACTATGGATGGACTTCAGTGCCGAACTACTCAGGTCAGAGCCTGAAATCTGAGGAGCCTCTTGGGAATCCCATGTCCTTTCCCTGCCCTGGGAACCCAAATAGAGCACTGGATTTGAAGTCAGGAAACCCAGGTTTAAATCCCAGCTCTGTTATTTACTCCTTGTGACCTTGGAAAAATCACTTAACCTCTCTGGGCCTTACCTCAGTTGGATTAAATGATCTATAAGGTCCTTTCCAACTCTAACTTATCATCCTTTGACCTGGATGTCCTCTTCCCCAACTGTCAGAGAGTTCCTTATGGATCCTGGCATTCTCTCTCTTAGCCCTTAAGAATGTCTTAGGAGACTCTGGCAAATAGCTCCCTATCATACCCTACCTCTCTACCTTGCACAGATTTGTGTTTCTTCCTGCCCCAAAGAGTATTGGACAGTGAATCTTGATCAGATGTATCAGCCTGTGAAGGACGTCTTCAATTCATCCCTGCAGTTTTGCCAGCCCAGTGTTGATCCAGAAATGGTGAGCCAGCATACACAAGCACACAGACACACACACACACACACACACAAGGACTATGATCTCAAGTCAAATGAACTATAATCAACAATCAAAGTCTTTCTGCAAAAGATAAAGGCAGGACTATATGAAGTCAACCCAAACATGAATCTTCTCCAGCATCTCCACATCACTCTCCCCTGCCCAAGGGGTGTGTTTGTGTGTGTGTGTGACTAGTGAGTGTGTGTGCCTGTGTGTCTGTGTGTGACTGTATCTTCATCCCTTTCCCCAGGATGTGATTTCAAGTCTGAATTTGGACCTCTGCCCTGCTTTCCTCCTCATTTCTACTCCAGGTTAGTAAGTGATTTGTCCTTTCACAAAAATACACAGATGGAAGAGGCTTTAGAGACTCTTTAGGCCAACTGCTTCAGAAGAAGAAACTGGAAGCCCAGAGAGAAGGGACTTGTCCAAGATCACTCAGCAAGTTAGTGGCAGTCAGAACTCAGGTGTTCTGTTGTTCTCTGTCCAGGGCTCTTTTCCCTGCACTGGGCTTCATTTAGCACGTGTTTATTCGCTGTACATTAATTGTACATTTAGCACAAACTTAGAGTGCCAGGCCAGTATCTCCAGCTGCCCACTCGACCTCTCCACTGAAAGTCCCATAGGCAGCCTAAAACCAGCGTATGTCCAAAACAGCTTTCATTGTCTTTCCCCTTAAACTTCCCATTTCTCCTAACTTCCCTCTTTCCATTGAAAGCACTACCATTCCTCCAGTCACCCAAGTTTGATACCTTATCTCTTCACTTTCCATTCACCCACCTCCTGTCCCATCCACTCCCTCTGCCTCATCTCCGTCAGTAGCCACGTCTTGTCCACTTTACTTCTTCAACATCGATTTACTAATGAGACAACCATCCTAGTCCAGACCCTTATCACCTTTCTCCTGGGTCATTAATATAGCCTTATAATTGGTCTCCCCGAATCCAGTCACTCACAGATTTCTCTTTGGTATTTGACAGAAGAACCAACCACTTACTTCACAATGCAGCTCTAGCCTATCCTTCCAGGTTCCCTACACATTAGCACTCTACAATCCAATTAAATTGGGCTGTTTAGTCTGTTCCCTCTCCACCACCTGAAATGCTTTCTCTTCTCACCTCCACCCCTTAGAATCCCTAACTTCCTTCCAGACTTAGCTAAGGTGTCTCCTCCTGTAAGAGACTTTTCCTGATTCCCCTAGTTGTGACATGGTTAGACCATTAGGAATGGCCATTTGGCATTCATGTGCAAAATGGATTGGTGAGGGGAGAGACCGGATGCAGAGAGACCAATTAGAAGACTAATACAGTAATCCATGTCCAGGATAAAGGACTGAACTGTGGTGGTTGGGATGTGAATAAAGAGAAGGTGAAATTCACTGGATGTGAGAAGAGGTGAGGAAAGGAAAAGTGAGAACAAAGAGTTAAAGATGACTCCTAGATTAGAAAACCTAAGTGATTGGGAAGATGGTGCCACACTTAACAGAAATAGGGAAGTCTGGAGGAGGGATGGATTTAAGGGGAAAGATAATGAGGTTTTTTTGGACATGATGAGTTTCAGATGCCCATGGAACATCCGGGAGAATTAGGCACTTGATCATGTGAGACTGGAATTATTCAGGAGAGATCGTCATCAGGAGAGGTGGGGCCTGGGTAGATAGATTTGGTAGTCATCTGAATAGAAATGATTGGTTGAATCTACAGGAGATGATGAGATCACCAAAAAGAGTATAGAGAGACAAGAGGGCCCAGCACAAAAATAGATAGGGGGCAAAACGGGATGATGAACCTCCAAAGGAGACTGAGATCTCTGAAGTGTTGCAGCAAGTCAGGCCCAGACTTTAGGAAGGTTTCTGTTTGCTTCCCAAGGGCAGCAGGAGCTGACCATCCTTACATCCAACAAGTATTTATTGACCAGGAAGTCAGGTGCCAGGTACCAAATGAGTCTAACCTTCACTGAATTCTCCCTCTCCAGCTCTGGGCCGATGTATTCCTTCTGTCAAGTCTGCCTCTTCACTGAACACAACTATTATCATTCAAAGCATCGAGTGAGATATCCCTTCTCTCATTCCTCATCCCTGTTCTTCCTCCATCTACCCTTTGGCCCTCATATCTAGTTTCATCCTTTTCCTTCACCTCAGTGGTCTCTTGGACACCCTTAATGCCCGAGAAATCAGCACCAAGATTTTTGAAGATATTGCTCGGTCCTGGTACTGGATCCTTATGTGAGTTGCCAGGTTTTTCCAGCATCTCTGTTCCTTTCCTCAGTCCCTTTACTCTAGGAAGTCACAGCCTCATGGTACATGGGGATATTGGCTTAAAAGTAGAGGACAGGAAAATGAGAAAGCAGAAGAAGAACTGGGGGTGACAATAGATCACAAGGCCTGGAGGGAAGAAAATCTGCCCTGGGAGAGACAACACATAGTTCCCTTGGATGAGGGGCAAGGGAGGTGGCTCTGAAGGTGTAGGGGCTTCAGGAACAGTGTGGAGAACACAAGAACTTCCGGATCTCCGTCCCTCATTCCATCCCTTCCTATCCTCAGTGCCCTGGCTATCTCTGTGGCCTTGAGCTTATTGTTTTTGCTGTTACTTCGCCTTGTGGCGGGCCCCCTGGTGTTGGTGCTGATTTTGGGGGTGCTAGGGGTTCTCGCGTATGGGATCTACCACTGTTGGAAGGAATACAAGACACTTCGGGATGAAGGAGCCACCATTTCCGAGGTGGGCTTTACCACCAACCTTTCTGCCTACCAAAGTGTGCAAGAGACCTGGCTAGCTGCTTGTGAGTCATGCCCTCCTCCCTTAACACCCTGGATCGCCAAGCTGTCTAAAACACAACCAAAGCCTATCCCTATAGATTAAGCCCGACCCACAAAACCACTTACTTGTTCCCCCATCCCCTTGCCAGATACTTCCAAACCATACCATGTTTCCCTTCAGAGCTGGTATGAGATCTCTGACCTCTCCCAAACCCATCATATTTCCCTTTGGAGCTGGTGACCATACCGCCCCCAGTGCATCAACTCCATAGTCCTCATCTCTTCTCCACCATTCCCATGATTCCCACTCCCCTCCCCATTTCTCCCATAGTGATTCTGATTTCTGTGCTGGAGGGGATCCTTCTGCTGCTTCTGATCTTCCTCAGACAAAGGATCTGGATAGCCATCGCTCTCCTCGAGGAAGCCAGCAAGTTAGTGGGGAAGAGAGTGGGGAGATATTTAAAATGTGAGAATATAAAAGTGAACGAAAAGTGGGGTTGGGGACAGGAAAAGGGGGGACAGAAACGAATTAAAGAGAGAAATGGCCAATCACAGAGAGACCATGAAGATATGTGGAGAATCAGGGAAAGGGAGAGAGAGTATAGTACTGAGACACAGGGAGGGATGGGAGGGATGGGAGGGATGATAGGAGAGCTGAACCCTAGAGTGTAGGTAATTATCCATTTTGGGTGGTGGGGAGCTCCTGTCTTCCTTAAAAGGAAGGAGCATGGAGCTTTAAGCTTTTTAAATCTAAGAATTTTTATACATTTTAGTTTTGGGGCTTTTTTTTTCTTTTTGGTGAGGCAATTGGGGTTAAGTGACTTGCCCAGGGTCACACAGCTAGTAAGTGTCAAGTGTCTGAGGCTGGATTTTGCATTTTAAAGTTTAAGACTTCAATAAGACTTTTAGGTATAAATTATATTTAGATACTTAGATGTTTAATTGATTTTATTGTTGTGAGTGTTATGTCCTCCAACAGATGGCAAACCCCACCATATTTCATCATACTATGTAATTCTCATCCATGTCTTCATAAGCCATCCACAGAATGATTTATCCTCCACTCACTGTGCTGGAGGCCTTTCTGTGGCTCTTTTAGAATCACAAGGGTACCAGCATACCCCTCAGACTCTCCAATTGTTGTCTCTCAGTCTCCCCTCTATGGCTGACCCACTTCCTTTTCTAATCATACATATTAGATCATAGGATTTAGAGCGAGAAGGGACCTCAGAGATTGTTAAGTCCAACCCCTCATTTCACAGGTGAGGAAACTATCCTCAATGCCTTTTACTCCACTCATGGCATGCTACCAATGCTGACTTTCATGGAACCTATATTCTCATCCCTAGGGCAGCTCTGTGGTGAAGTGGATAGAGTACTGGGCTTGGAATAAGGAAGATTGATCTTCCTGAATTCAAATGTGGCCGCAGATACCTACTAGCTGTGTGGACTCTGGGCAAGTCATTTAACCCTGTTTGCCTCAGTTTCTTCATCTGTGAAATGAGCTGGAGAAGCAAATGGCAAACCACTTCAGTATCTTTGCCAAGAATACCCCAAATGGGGTCACCAAGAGTTGGATATGACTGAAAAACGACTGAACAATATATTCTAACCATATAAAAAATATGGAGGAGGGACAGCATGATTGGAAGGAAGAACAAAATGATGGGAGTTGTAGGGTAATAATGTTGCAGAGAGACCCAAGGCATTAACTGGGAGATTAAAAGGGGTGCAGCCTGGTCTGTGAGTGAGTGAGGATGTCTTTTCTGCAGGGCTGTGGGGCAGATGATGTCCACCTTGTTCTTCCCGCTCCTGACGTTTGTCCTCCTGCTCATCTCTGTGGCCTATTGGGTCATGACAGCTCTGTATCCTCTGAATGAAGTCTCAGATCCCCTGTGCACTAAGCTCCTAATCTTTGTGGCCCACAGGGAGCCCTAGGATATAGTGGGGAACTATGTCTTCCTTTGAGTTCTGAGGGGCCCTGGTTGTTAATGGGGGAAGCATTTGCTCCTTGATGATAGGGCCTGGACAGTCATCTTTCCTTAACCCTAATATGTTCCCTACTATCATAAGATTGCAGGATTTAGAGCTGGAAATAGATGATTAAATGATTTGCACAGTGCCTGGCACATGTAGGCCCTTAATAAAGGCTTGATTGATTGATTTGTCCAAAGTCACACACAGATAATAAGTAATAGTGCCAACCCAGATCCTCTGACCCCAAATCCAGACCTCCTTCTACTATCTCATGCTTCCTTGACTTCTTCCCTGGGTATCTGGCCACATCTGGACAACCTCAGTACGGATGGTGGGCTCCCAATGGCAGCGACCCAGGCTGTCAAGATGTCATCAATAAAACATGTAACCCCCTGGTAAGGAGGCTCCAAGACAAGAAGGATATTTGGGGGAAGAAACCTAGAGGATATGGTGGGGATCCTATTGTGTTCCATAGGGTGGGTGGCCTTACAATTAGTTAGGAAACAAAATGGAGGAGGGGGTCTAACATAGATCTCAAACCTGGGGACAGAAGAGAGAGAATGAGATTATTCTGTCTTCCCATTTTCTACCGCCTAGCATATAGTGCCTGGGTCAGAGCTAGCACACAGACTGATTAATGGCCCTTCCCTATGCTTTCTTCTCTCTTTCAGGACAAATTCTCCAGCCAACTCAATTCCTCCATCGCCATGTGCCCAAATCTAACTTGCCAGTTCCTAGGTTACTCCACTTCAGGGCCAGCCCAGCGTTCACTATTTAATCTGCAGATCTATGGGATCCTAGGACTGTTTTGGACACTCAACTGGGTGCTGGCCTTAGGGCAATGTGTCCTGGCTGGAGCCTTTGCTTCCTTCTACTGGGCCTTCAACAAGCCCCAGGATATCCCTTCCTGTCCCCTGACTGCTGCTTTCTTCAGGACTCTGCGGTCAGTGTAGTTTGGGGAAAGGATGCTTGGGACTTTCAGAAAAGTCAGAAGATTGAAACTTGGGCTTCTAAGAGGAGAAACTTGGGGACTGGAGTAAGGAGGGGATGCCTTAGTCTCTGAGGGGAGGACAGAGAAGGCCTAGATTTTCAGGTAAGGCTAGCCCCTAACAGCTGGTCTCATCTCTTCAGTTACCACACAGGGTCCCTGGCCTTTGGAGCCTTGATCTTGACTCTAGTCCAGATAGTGAGGGTTGTCTTGGAGTACCTGGATCACAAACTAAGAGGTAGGACCAGAGGGGTCAGGTACCTGAGTTTGGGTAGGGGAGAACAAGAGTCTGGATCTGACACTTCAGTTCTGTGGGGAGGGGACGGTTGGCAGCTTAGGGGACTTAGGTGGTTGATGAGAGTGGCTAAGACCAGATACTTAGATCTTCCTCTCTTCTCCTGTCCTCTCCGCCCCACCCCACTCCCACCTCTAGGAGCCCAGAACTCCCTGATCCGATGTCTTATGTGTTGTCTCAAATGCTGCTTCTGGTGTCTGGAGAAATTCCTCAAATTCTTGAACCGAAATGCATACATCATGGTGAGGTCTTTGGGACTATGTCTAAAAATATCCCCTCCCTCCTAACCTCCAATAAACCACTTCGAGAACCTTCACAGTGTCTCTCTCCACCCTCATGCCTGTCTCCACCCCCATCAGCAGACAGTGTAACTACAGGGAGGGAAGGGAAAATGTGTTAGCAATCTTCCCTTCTGGTTTCTCTTCTCCTAGATTGCTATCTATGGGAGGAATTTCTGCATCTCTGCTAAGAATGCCTTCATGCTGCTCATGAGGAACGTTGTCAGGTCAGAGTGTCAAATCCTTAGCCTCATTTCTTCAAATCTAAGATCCAACCCCTGCCTCCCTACCTTAAGGCAATTCCTACCCATAAAGGTCCATCATCCTGTTTTCCCCTAAATCCCTAATCATGCATCTCAACCCTCATCCCATCTCTGTAGCTGCTCTGTTTTTACCCCAGAGATAACCCCCCAAATTCTGCCAACAGGGTGGTCGTCCTAGATAAAGTGACAGACTTGCTGCTTTTCTTTGGCAAATTGCTCGTGGTTTCAGGAGTTGGTGAGTAGGGACATAGAATTTAGAGGCAGAAGAGAATAGAGAGATTACCTAGTCCAACCCCTTCCTTCCCCCTCATTTTACAGAGAAGGAGACCAAGGCCCAGAGATGGAATGTGATTTCACAGGATCCACAATTTAGAACCAAAGGGGACCTGAGAGGTTTAATCTAACCCCTTACTTTACAGATTAAGAAATTAAGGTCCAGCAAGGTTAATTACCTTATCCAAGGTCACATAGGTAAGAAGTAGAGGCAGTAGGAAAAACCAGATCCTGATTCCAGAGCCAATCATTTTGCCACACCACCACAATGGCGTCTGGAGAAGCCTAGGGAAACATGATTCTCTGAGGAGAATGTGTACCCGTGTGTGGAGGAGGGGAGAAAAACCAAGAACTAGAAGAGATGACCATAATTTGGGGGGAGAATGAGAGAGCTGCTTCACCCCCACTTCATGCCTTCTTCCTCCTATCCCCAGGCATCCTTTCTTTCTTTTTCTTCACTGGCCGAATCCCAGCCCTGAAGGAGGAATTTGGTTCCCTTAACCTCAATTACTACTGGCTCCCCATCATGGTGAGTGACTTGCCTCCATCCCTACTTCCTGGGACCTAAGTGTTCCCCTCACCTGAATTCTCCCTTCTCCAAGAGCCCTCACTCTTCTGAGTTCCTGTCATCATCCTCTGTATTCCAGGTCACCATCCTTGGCGCTTATGTCATCGCTTCTGGCTTCTTCAGTGTCTTCAGCATGTGTGTAGATACTCTCTTCCTCTGTTTCTGTGAGTATTTCCTCCTCCTGGAAACATGCCCCTCCCTATGAAATTCCCCACACATTCACCTGTACCTTCAACAAACTGGCCTATCAACCCTTACCGTATCTCCCAAGAAGACGGCTGGAAGTAGAAGGATCTTAACAAAAATAATGACACAAGCCAAAAGGCAAAATGAATGGGTTAAGAGCTGGGGGATCCTGGCCTGAATCTCAAACCAATTCAACAAATATTTTTTAAGCACTGTGGAAGACACTGTGCAAAAGTGAGAAAGTCCCTGACCTCCAGGAACCTATATGCTACTGGGGGGGGGGGGAATGCAACACATAGGTAAAAATAACCTGAGAAGCAGTAAAAATTAGGGCAGGAATGGCATCAGAACATGGAAACCTTTCTTGGAAAGATGGCACCTGGGGGCAGCTAGGTGGCGCAGAGGATAGAGCACCGGCCCTGAAGTCAGGAGGACCTGAGTTCAAATCTGGCCTCAGACCAAACACTTGACACTTAGGAGCTGTGTGACCCTGAGCAAGTCACTTAACCCCAATTGCCAAAAAAAATAAAAAAGAAGATAAAATAAGACTTGAAAAGTAGGTTGGAACCAGTCTGTGGAGGGTTTTAAACTGCCAGACAGAGAAATTTGTATTCTATCCTGTAGGGAATAGAGAACCATGAACATTCCTGAGCAAAAGAGTGACTTGATCAGACCTGTGCCTTAAGAAAATGATTTTGACAGTTGTACAAAGGATAGATTGGAAAGGAAAGAGACAAGTCACGAAGAGCTATTAGGAAGCTATTACAATAGTTTACATGGGAGGTGATGAGAGCCTAATTTAGGACAGCAATAGTATTGTCAGAATTTAGCAACTGATCAGATGTGGAAGGTGGAGAAAGAAAAGACAAGGATAATCTCGAGGTGACTGAGAGCGTGGTGGTGCCATCAATAGAAATAGGGAAAAGAGGAGGTTTGGAGCTTCCATTTTGGACACTGTTCAATCTAAGATAATGATGGGACATTTGGAGATGTCCAGCAGGCAAGTGGCAATGTGAAAATGGAGTTCAGTGGAGAAGTTAGGGTTGGATATATAGATTTTTGCCAATGAATGAGATCACTAAGGAGGGCATGGTAGAAGAGAAAAGAAAACAATCTTGAATAGGGCCTTCAAGGACATATGAAGGAAGGGGAGTAGTAGTAGGTGAGGGGAGATTAATAATGATCCAGCAAAAGAGACAAAGAAAGAGTCTTAGATTTAAAGGCAGTTCTCAAGAGGAAGACTTGGAGAAAACAGACTTTGAATTCAGTTCTACAAAATGTATTAAGTTACTGCTGTGGAGAGAACACTGGGAGAGATGCTGGGAGGCACAGTTTAGACAGAATATTTTCCTGTCCTGATGGTGCCTCATTTTCTTTCTTTCTTTCTTTCTTTCTTTCTTTCTTTCTTTCTTTCTTTCTTTCTTTCTTTCTTTCTTTCTTTCTTCCTTTTTTTTAGACTCATTTTCTAAGAGGGGTATGGGAATATGGTATACAAATCATATTAAATCCAAAACAGTAAACGTTACATATGTAAAATATACATAGAAATTAACCATAGGAGAGATACAGTAACAGCTTACAGTTTGCGGTACTTTATGGTAACACTCTTCTCATAACACTGCAAGCATTATTTATCCCCATTTTACAGATAATAGCAACAATTATAGCTTGCATTTATATAGAATTTTAAGGTTTTCAAAGTGCTTTACAAATATTATCTCATTTGGGGCAGCTAGGTGGTGCAGTGGATAGAGCAGCGGCCCTAGAGTCAAGAGGACCTGAGTTCAAATCCGACCTCAGACACATAACAGTTCACTAGCTGTGTGACGCTGGGCAAATCACTTAACCCCAACTGCCTAAAAGCAAAAAAAAGGAAAAAAAACATTATCCCATTTTATCATCACAACAACTTTGAAAGATTTATTCCATTTTACATTTGAGGAACCACAGGCACCCAAAGGTTTAAATGACTTGCTCAGGGTCACACAGTTATTAGGTGTGTACGGCCAGATTAGAGCTCACGTCATCATAACTCCAGGTCTGATGCTCTACCCTTTGTACCACCTAGCTACCTAGTTTTCCAGATGAAGAAACTAAGGCTCAGAGGAAGTGACTTTGGTCACACCAAGCTATAAAGGATCAGAGCTAGGATGAGCAAGTGCTGGGCAATATCAGAGAAAGGAAATACAAATGACAGGGAACCAAGGAAGGGTTCGTGCAGGTGACTTTTGAGCTAGGCTTTGAAGGAGAGGCAGGCTTTCAAAAAGTCAAGAATTAATGGGGGGGGGGCCGCTAGGTGGCGCAGTAGAGAGAGCACCGGCCCTAGAGTCAAGAGGACCTGAGTTCCAATGCGACCTCAGACACATAACGCTCACTAGCTGTGTGACCCTAGGCAGGTCACTTAACCCCAACTGCCTCACCAAAAAAAAAAAAAAGAATTAATAGGAGGGAGGGAAATACAGTTAGTAGTCATTATTGTGAATGTGAATGGGATGAACTCACCTGTAAGACAAAACAGCAGAATGGATTAGAAACCAAAGTGACCCAAGTAGGGACAACCCCAAGAAACTTTCCTCCTGATGGGGGGGGGGGAAGGGAGGGACTGGGAGAGGACAGAATTCACGGGGGTGCTTTTGGTTCCCGGCTCAGTGGAAGACCTGGAACGGAATGACGGCTCCCTGGCCAAGCCCTACTACATGTCCAAGAACCTCATGAAGATTCTGGGGAAGAAGAACGAGCGCCCCTCCCGGGAAAAGAGGAAAAAGGCGAAATAACCAGACCCGGCCTAGGAAGCTTCTCACCTGGATCTCAGTCCCCATTTCCCGGCCCTCCCCTCACCCCTTCCCAATTGCCCTGGTTTCCAGATGGAGATTTTATAATCCGCAGATTTTATTAAAAACCGATTCCCCCCCCCACACACACAAACTTGGCCCGGCTCATTCTCTTCCAGCCTCCTGCCGCTTTAAACCGGTCCCCCTAGGTTCACCAATGGCCAGGCTCTGAGACCAATCAGAAGGCTCGGGGTACTTTTCCCTATTCACTTCGGCCAATGAGCTCCCGTTCGTCCTATGACTCCCATGGGACCGACCAGGCCAATCGGAAACGCTGTTACCTAACGCTAGCCACTGAGTCACTAGTAGGGAGGGAGAGAGGCAGGAGGTGGGAACTCTCTGTCCAATCGCAGGGGCCGCGGTACCGTCCCCCACCTGGGAAGGGAAGCGCCTATATCCGCGCGCAAGGGGCTGCCCAATCCGGACGGATCGGGCGGGTTTTTTTTTTAAAGGGCAAAGGAGCGGGATCAGCTGACTTGGTTCCCTAGCCCCTGCTCCCCTGCCGCCCTGTCAGTGTCCGGGGCTGCGAGCGGTTGCTATGGAGGAGGGACCAGCGCCTCGGGAGACTCGGTCTCCGGGGTCGTGCCGAGTCCGCGGTCTCTGGCTTTCCCTGGTGAGCCTTCTGCTGCTGCCGCAGCTCGAAGGGTCGCGGGTGCCCGATGACTTCAGCCTGGTAAGTGCCCCGTCCGTCCCGCATCTCCCGGGCTCGGGGACCGGGGCTTCCGAGCCCTCCCTCCAGCATCGCAGCCTTCCGTGTCAGCTTCCCTCCGGGATAGTGTCCCCAGCCCAGGTTTCCCAGCCTCCTATTTTGTTGCCCCGAGGGACACATGGGCACCTCATCCCCGTCTCCTCCAGACCCCGCTCCCATGTTGCCTGCCCCGCTCCCATGTTGCCTGCCCCGCTCCCGCCCTCCTCACCACCCGGGACACCTGCCAGACGTCTCACCCCCTCCTTCCTCGGGGTACCCAGGTGTCCGAGATGCTCGCTCCATTAATGCCCCCTCCAGCGTGAATTCCCATCCCCAAACACACACACACACACACACACACACACACACACACACACACACACACACACACACACACACACGAGGGACCCAGGCATCAAACACTTCCCCCTCAGACTTTACATAAACACCTATGCAAAGGCTTCGCAGCTAACTAAGGTATCTAATTAAGACCATATATGTCCCATCTTTGTCCCCCGGGACCCAGGCATCAGAGCCCCACGCCTCCACTTTTCCCCAGGGATCTAGGCAACTAAGGCTCCTCATCCTCCTCTCCTGTTCTACTCCCAGGTAAACTCGCCTCCAGCTCCAGATCGCTATCTTGAACACTCAGATCGCTATCTTTCTGTCCAGTTCCAGTCCCAAGGCTACCAAAGCTGCTGGTTCTCCATCTCTTAACTAAGCACTGGAAGCCTAGGCTTCTGAACTCCTAATTTCACAAGAACCTAACTCAGCCCTCTCCTCCCTACCATCCTTCTAGGCCCAGATATCAGAGCCCCCACCTCCATTCTCAGATCCCCTGGGGGCACACTGGCATCTGCCAAGATACCTGAGCTCCTATCCTCACCCCTATCTCCTACTCTGTCATTCCCTAGAACTCAAAGTCTTCTATCCTCAGATTCTCCCAGGAGTCTTCCATCTTTCCCTGCTATCTAGTCATATAAGGTGCACCCATTGCCACCAGTGGTTAATAGGGTACTGGACTTGGAGTCAGGAAGACTTGCATTCAAGTATGACCTCAAACTAGCTCTAAACCTGGCCAAGTCATTGTGCCTTAGTTTCTCATGAGTTTCTTAGTTTCTCCTTTTCTCTGTGCCTTAGTTTCCTCATCCATAAAATTGTGAGGGATAAAACTGAAGGCCTCTAAGGTCCGTTCTAACTTTAAATCCATGATCTATGAACCTTGATGTTTCATCCCTAATCAAACCCAAGCATGTGACTAAATGCTTACTCCTCTCAGGACTAGGTATTAGAGAACCTCAACTCCAGCTCCTACTCTGACCTCCTTCTCCTCCTGTTATTACAGGTACAACCATTGGTGACTTTGGAGCAGCTCCTTTGGGTGAGTGGGAAGCAAACTGGGAATGTGGACACTTTCAGAATACCACTGATCTCAGCTACTCCCCGAGGGACCCTCCTAGCCTTTGCAGAGGCCCGGAAGATGTCGTCCTCAGATAGAGGGGCTAAATTCATTGCCATGCGGAGGTCCACAGATGGAGGTGCCTGAATTCTGAGGAAAGGGTGGGGGGGTAGGGAAGCAGGATCTGGCCTGGGGGCCCAAATGGCTGAGTCATTTATTTAACAAACATTTATTAAATGCCTAATGTACAAAGCCCTGTGCTAGGCATTAGAGATACATAAATATAGATACATATAGCATAGCTTTGCTGAGAAGGAGTTTACAGTCTATTGGTGGGAGGTGGGAAATTGAGGGGAGGGAAGTATCAAATCTGTATTCATATACCTAGGAGACAAGGAGGAATGAGAAGTCCAGGCAAAGTATTGTGCTAAATCTGAGATGAGGTGAGACTCTAGGCAGTGGAGAAGAAGATGAATAAGATGGAATCTGAGAATCTGACTCCTATATCTTGATCCTGTGTTTTTATCAGGTGCCACATGGTCCCCCACATCATTTATAGTGGATGATGGGGATGTTGCCGATGGACTGAACCTGGGGGCCATAGTTGGGGATGTTGAAACGTGTACAATGTTCCTTTTCTATTCTCTCTGTGCGCATTATGATGGGTGTTCCGTGGCTTCCACCATGCTGGTGTGGAGCAAGGATGATGGCATCACTTGGAGCCCACCCAGAAACCTCTCCTTGGATATTGGAACTGAAATGTTTGCTCCAGGACCAGGCTCTGGCATTCAGGTCATTGGGTTGGGGTAGGGTGGGAAGGGGAACTTCTTGAAATGAACATTTATTATATAAATGTGAATTATTATGGGGCTCTTTATCAGGTGGTGAGTTCCCTGTCTTCCACTGAGTATCTTCAAACAGTCTGGGTGACTACTTGTCAGGGATAGGTTGTAGAGAAGATTCCTGTTCAATTATGGTTTAGACCGCATGACCCTTGCGGTCTCTTCCAGTGCAACAATTCTATGATTATTATTATGGTAACAGGAGTTGGGACTTTGGGAAGGAAAGTGCTCTTAAAAGTCAAGATTAACCTACCCAAGGATGACCTAGAAGAGAAAAGTTGTAGTAGAGTTGGGACTCATCATTTTAAATGAAATTTCCTAGAAGGAATTTTTTTTGCCAGGAATCTGATTTAGGATCACAGATTTAGAGCTGGAAGAGCTGACTTTAAAAGTCATCTAGTCTTCCTAGAAAGACTTTTCTTACCAGAGAGAATGGGATTTTTTCAATGAACTTCCCATTTGGAAGATGGGCAAATTTCTTGTCACAGAATTTTGTTCCAAGGAGAAGCTTCTTATTTAGAAAAAAGGGCCTTTTGAGATTTTGGAAGATTAACTTCCTTAACAAGACCTGTTGAGGTTAGAGGCTGGGACTAGAGGAAAACTGGAAGGAGCTTGAGAGAATATGAGACTTCCTCTGATTGATTTTATGTAACTGAGGATGCCTCCTTCCTGTCTTGGAGAACCTGGTTTAGAGTTCCCGTATATTTCACTCCATGACATTCTGTTTTCCCAACAGAAGCAGCATAAGCCATATAAGGGCCGGCTCATTGTCTGTGGCCATGGAACCCTGGAGCGTGATGGGGTCTCCTGCCTCATTAGTGATGACAAAGGAGCCTCCTGGCGCTATGGCGGTAGAATCAGTGGGATTCCGTATGGGGAGCTCAAGAAACCAAATGACTTCAGTCCTGATGAGTGCCAGGTTAGAAACTTAAGAATACAGAACTCCTTACTTCCTACCCATTCCCTTAGCATCACCCACACACACACTCTTTTTTTTTTTAAATTAATTTATCTTGATTTATCAACAATCACTTCCACAGGCTTTTTAGTTTTAAATTTTTCTTCCTCCACCCCCCAAGATGGCTCACAGTCTGATATAGGCTATACATATACATTTCTATTAAATATATTTTCACATTAGTGATGTTGTAAGGAAGAATTAGAACCAATAGGAGGAACTATCAGAAAGAGGAAACAAAACAAAACAGAAGGAAAAAAAATAACAAATAGTATGCTTTGATCTGTATTCAAAGTCCATAGTTCTTTCTTTGGATGTGGATAGCATTTTTCCGCATGAGACCTTTGGAGATGTCTTAGATCCTTGCGTTGCTGAGAAGGGCTAAGTCTATGAATGTTAGTCATCTCACAACATAGCTGTTACTCTGTACAACATTCTCCTGGTTCTGCTCACTTCACCCAGCATCAGTCCATAAAAGTCTTTCCAGGTTTTTCTGAAGTCAGCCTGTTCATCATTTCTTATAGCACAATAGTATTCCATTACATTCATATACCACCACTTGTTCAGCCATTCCCTAATTGGTGGGCATTCCCTCAATTTCCAATTTTTTGCCACCATAAAAAAAGAATTGCTATAAATATTTTTGTACATGTGAGTCCTTTTCCCATTTGTATGATCTCTTTGGGATACAGCCCTGGAAGTGGTATTGCTGGGTCAAAGGGTATGCACATTTTATGGCCCTTTGGGCATAGTTCCAAATTGCTCTCCAAAATGGTTGGATCATTTCCCAACTCCACCAACAATGCACACGCACCCTTCCTATAGACCCAAGTGCCTGCTCTTCCCTCATCCCAGCCCACTAACTCTTTCCCCCCTCAGACTCTGCCTCCCTCAGAGACCTATATACCTGATACCCTAGCTTTCTTCAAGTTCATTTCCACATTTCAATCTCTCTACTTAATGAGCCTTCTCCCCTGAAGCCTCTGACTTGCTACCCCCTCAGCCCTACGAACTCCCTGATGGCTCCGTCGTAATTAATACCCGAAACCAGAATAACTACCATTGTCACTGCCGCATCATCCTCCGAAGCTATGATGCATGTGAAACCCTCAAGCTCCAAGACATAACCTTTGATGAAGAACTCATCGACCCTGTTGTAGCTGCAGGCGCTGCGGCCACCAGCTCTGGTCTGGTCTTCTTCTCAAATCCAGCTCATCCAGAATATCGTAAGTCCCTGGGATGGGCAGGGGAATGCTCTCCTTGGCCTCAGAGTCCCTTTTTGACTTTTTTTCTCTCTTCCCTCCCCTCCCCCACATGCAATTACATCCACATTGCCATCATCCTGATTCAAGCCTTCATCTACTCTTACTACTCTCATCTCTCATCAAAATGGCTTCCTAACAAGTCGTCTTGCTTCCATCTTTTCTGCAATCTGTGGTTTTAACCACACAGTGGTTAAAATACTTTTTGTGATGTATAGCTTTAATGAGAGGTGGTCTGGTGTGGTGGATGAAACTGGTCTGGGTTTAAGCCCTGCCTTGGACACACTGCTTGGGCAAATCGCTTGCTCTGGAGTAGCAGAAGAGTTGCTGATTTGCATTGGCAGAAGGAATTTCCTCAGTGAGAGTTACTCCCATTCCCCCATTAAAAATACAGATGCAGACCAAAAATAAAAGAACACCTACCCACATTATTAGCAGCAGCCAGGTAGCTCGGTAAATATAGTGCTAGACCTGCAGTCAGGAAGTCCTGAGTTCAAATCCACCCTTAACACTTACTAGCTATATGGGCAAGTCACTTTAACCTCTCTCTGTCTCAATTTCCTCATCTGTGAAATGAGGGTAATAATAGCACCCAGAGTTGTTGTGAGGATAAAATGAGTTAATATTTCTAAAGCACTTTGCAAACTTTAAACTGCTGTATAAATGCTAGCTATTATTATTATCCTGTTTATAAATTTTGAGTGGTTTCATATTGCTTACTAAGTAAAATACAAACTCTTTAATCAAGGCCCTTCTCAATCTAGTAAGAATTTGCCTTTATAGTTTTTTCTCCCATAGTTCCCTGTTCATCTGCTCTGTGGTCCAGAAGGACCATGCTACTCACCATTTCTCAATCTCATCTTGCCCTTTCCTGGTTCTTTGTATTCACATAAATTCATCGGACATCTCTACCTGTTTACATTCTCCTCTTCCTTCAACATCTACTTCAAACACCACCTATTCCATAGAGTCTGTCTTTATTTCTGATCACTCAGTTGAAAGTGATCTTTCCCTCCCCATTTTCTTCTGTCTCTTTGTCTTGACTTCTCCTTTCTTCCTTCACATTCTATCTTTTCATTGTGCTTATTTGTTTAGACATGTTGCATCCCCTCTATTAGACCACGTGCTCCCTGAGATAAGGGACTGTCATTTTTTGTTTTGGTATCCCCCATGCCTTCCAGTTCAACAGACATTTATTAAGTTTTTACTGTGTACAATACCTTCTTGTTTCATCTTTCTCTCTAGGGGTAAATCTGACCATACGTTGGAGTTTCAGCAATGGTACTTCATGGAGGAAAGACACGATTCAACTGTGGCCAGGTCCCAGTGGTTACTCATCCTTGACAGTTCTGGAGGGAGCTCAGACTTGGGGGGATGGGACCCCCCAGCTCTATGTCCTGTATGAAAAGGGTCGGAATGACTACTTCGAGAGTATCTCTCTGGCCAAGATCAGTGTCTATGGCACTCTCTGAGCCTTACCCCACAGAGAGGATGAGAAGATATGAGGGGTACTAGGGGCACCTCAGACTTTGCCTTTTAGGACTCTGCTGATCCGTTGTTGTAGATATATGGCTCTTTCCTAAAAAGTCATGATTTTTGGAATATTCATCTTCCCTTTGATAGGGACAACCTCCTTTAAGACTTTTTGTCTTATCTCCTCTGACAAACACTAGGCCCTCTTTCCCCCTGAGCCTTCCTTTCTTTTTCAGTTATAATGCCTTTTTTTGCTTAGGAGATGGGGCCCCACTTTTCTCCCTGCTTCCTCTAGATCCCAATAATCTCTCTCTTAGGGCACTAGACTGCTCTTGCTCCTAACTCTACTGAATCCCCCTTCCCCATCCCTATCCCTCTTCATGGTGGGGGATGAATTTGCACAAACCTGAACTCAGGGACTTCTGGTTGGGAGGGGTGCCGAAATTTAGAGTGGGAGTGCAGGTTGTTGGAGGACAGTAGGAGATTTTGGATGAGGAAAGGACACTTTGGACTGTTTACAGATCAATAAGTTAATCAGTTAAATTAGTAGTTCTAATGAAGGAAAATAAGAATTTGCCAATGTCTATTTATTAAAGCTGTGGTCTCTATCTGTGTATGTCTTTGGGTTTCCTAAATATAGCCATGAAAGAGAAAATGAGAGAAGAGAGAGCTGTCATAGAGGAAAGAGCAAAAGGCTTGGGTTTGAGTCCTGGTACTGCCACTCACTAACTGTGGTCCTTGGCCAAGTCCCTTAATTGCTCTGAGCCATAGTATCAAGTAGTCTTAAGTGTTTGGAACCACAGAGGTAATCTAATTCAACACTCATCTAAAGCATGAATTCCCTCTGTTGACATTCCTGCTAAATAATGATCCAGCCTAATTACCTTTTTTTTTAATATCACCTTAATTTCCCAATATACCCCTTCTCCCACCCCTACATAACAAGCTATTCCTTGTAAAAAGAAAACACTGAAAAATAGTTCAGCAAAAATACCCAGTGCATCAACCACATTTGACAGCATAGACAGTAAACAGTGTTCCATACCTATAGAGGTTCCCCACTTCTGGGAGGTGAGGGAGGTACATGTTCTCACATCTTCTCCAGAGCTAAGCTTGGTCATTAGAATTAGACAGCACTCAGTTCTGTATTTTGTTTTTTCTATTCACATATTTGTAGTCATTACACATAATGTTTTCCTGCTTCTGCTGTCCTACCTCAATTTAGTCTTCCAATGTTTCTCTGAATTCTTCACATCATTTATTATGGCCTAGTAATATTCCAACATGTTCATGTACCATAATTTATTTAGCCATTCTCTGCTCAGTATTTATTTTGCTTCCAGTTCTTCTCTAACCTCAAAAAGTATCACTGAATATTTTGGTGTATGTGGAACCTTTTGTTTTGTTTTTGACCTCCTTGGAGTAAATACCTAGCGATTTGTCTCTGTTTCACAAGGTATGAACATTGTAGTCAGTTGTTTGGGTTTTGTTTGGTGTTTTCTTTTTAGCATAATTCCAAATTGCTCTTCAGAATGGTTTTTACCAATTTGCAGCTTAATTTAGCAGCATATTAGTGTACCTGTCTTCTCCTAGCCCCTCTGCCTAATCCCATCTTTTGTCATCTTTGCCAATTTGCTGAATATAAAGTGAAACCTCAAAGTTAGTTTTGATTGCATTTATCTTATTGTTAGTGATTTGAATCAGTCCTTCATAATGTGTGAAACAATATCTTGTAATACATGGTATAGGCACAGGGCCTGCCAGAAACGATATTAACTTTGATTGATAATCCAAGCATTACTTCTTTTTTTAAATTAATTTATTTTGATTTATCAACAATCACTTCCATATGCTTTTGAGTTTAAACTTTTTCTCCCCCTCCCTCCCCACCACTCTCCCCAAAAAGGCACACAATCTCATATAGGCTATACATATACATTCCTATTAAACATATTTTCACATTAGTGATGTTGTAAGGAAGAATTAGAAACAATAGGAGGAACTACCAGAAAGAGGAAACAAAACTCAACAGAAGAAAAAAATATAGCAAATAGTATGCTTTGATCTGCATTCAAACTCCATAGTTCTTTCTTTGGATGTAGATAGCATTTTCCGTGATGAGGCCTTTGGAGATGTCTTAGATACTTGTATTGCTGGGAAGGGCTAAGTCTATCAAAGTCATCGAACAACATGGTTGTTACTGTGTATAATGTTCTTCTGGTTCTGCTCACTTCACTCAGCATCAGACCATTCAAGTCTTTCCAGGTTTTTCTGAATTCTGCTTGCTCATCATTAATCTTATAGCACAGTAGCATAATTCCGTCATATTCATATACCACAACTTGTTCAGCCATTCCCCAGTTGATGGGCATCCTCTCAATTTCCAATTCTTGGCCACCACAAAAAGAACTGCTATAAATATTTTTGTACATGTGGATCATTTTCCCATTTGTATGATCTCTTTGGGATACAGCCCTAGAAGTGGTATTGCTGGGTCAAAGGGTATGTACATTTTATAGCCCTTTGGGCATAGTTCCAAATTGTTCTCCAAAATGGTTGGATCATTTCACAACTCCACCAACAATGCATTAGTGTTCCAATTTTCCCACATCTTCTCCAGCATTTATCATTTTCCTGTTTTGTCATGTTGGCCAATCTGATAGGTGTGATGTGGTACCTCAGAGTTGTTTCGATTTGCATTTCTCTAACCAATAATGATTTAGAGCATTTTTTCATATGACTATAGATGGCTTTAATTTCTTCATCTGAGAACTGTCTGTTCATATCCTTTGACCATTTATCAATTGGGGAATGGCTCTACTTTCCTTCTAATCTTGGTTGCATTCAAGCATTACTTCTTAGAAAGAAGACAAATGATGTACAGAACCACCCCATGACTGTGAAAATCTCTGATCCAAAACATTTTGGTACTAATGGTTATAGCATTCCCTGGCAATAGACAAAGTTTCGTGTTAAATATGATGAAACATGGTTAACATAAATTCAGGGTCCAAGTTTAGTTAACAATTTATAACATCAAGTAGGACAGTAGTTATTTAAATTTTGGCATATCTTTGGAGAATCATTTTTTTCTAAAACCATTCAGTACCTCTTTGACCATTTCCTTCAAATATTCTCCTTTCTAGCTGGTCTATACTGCCTTAACTTTCACTAGGGTCCCTTGTCAGGTCACTGCCCTAATTCAAGGGAAGAGTCTCTCCTGAGCCAGTTGGAAGGGAGCAGGACACTGTCTCCAAATTGATAGTTTTTCTTTAAGATAATATTTCAATGTTTTCTTAATGTTTCTAAAAGAGGAAGCCGGCTTTGTCTGCTTTCACTTGTGGTTGTTGATGATTTGCAGTTCTTCCTTGGAGAAATGTTTGTTCATATCCTCTGATCAACCACTTAGCCATTGGTAAATAGCTCTTTGTTTTCTATATTTGTGTTCTCTCTTTATCTTGGATATCAGAGGTGCTTGATGCTAATATTTTTTCCCCTAATTTTTTCCCACAGCTTTTCTTCTTATCCTAATTACTAAGATTTTTTGCATGCAAAAGCTTTTCAGTTGCTTGTAATCACAATTATTATCTTTTGTGATTGCCTCTTTCCCTTTTCTGGTTAAGAACTTTCCCCTTAGCCATAGCTGTGAATAGTATTTGCTCTCATTCTCTTCTTAGATTTGGTTTTTGTTTGGTTGGTTTTTTGGTTGTGTTTCTTTTTAATGGTGTGACTTTTAATATTTGGATCACGTGTCCATTTTGAGCCTATTAGTATATGGTGTAAGATGTTAACCTAAGCCTAACTTCTGTCACATGGCTTTCCAGTTTTCTCAGCAATTCTTATCAGATCTCAAGTTCTTCCTCAATGAGTTTATCTTCTCAGGTTTATCATACATAAGAGGGGTTTTTTTTGGTTCAATTATTTCTGATTCTTTCTTATCTAGTGTCTCCCACTCATCCACTTTTCTATTTTTGTTTTTATTCAGTACCAAATAGTTTTGATGATTATTACAGAAAGTTTGTTAACATTGCATTGAAATTTGCTTATCTGCAACTTCCACCTATTGCTTCTAATTTAATGCTCTCAAGTCAAGCAAAATAGATCTAAACTCTCTCCCCCATGGCAGCCCTTCAGAGATTGAAAAATCGCTACTATATCAGGAGGAGTTTCCCCAGTTCCTTCAGCAGATCTTTATTTGATATCTAGTCCTCTTGACCATCCTGGTCTTCTGGACAAACTCCATTTTATCAGTGCCTCCTGCTTAAAAGTACCCCCAGAATGAGACATAATAATACAGATGTGGTCTGATCAGGGCAGAATACAATGCAATATATATCCAGACTATGATCAAATTATTGGGTTTTCAAAAAAAAAAGTAGCATTTACATAGCACTTTAAGGTTTGCAAATACACTTTACATATGTTGTCATTTGTTTCTCACAAGAACTCTTTGCTATTATTATCCCCTTTTTACAAATGAGAAAACTGAGGCACAGAAAGGTTAAGTAGTTTCCCCATGGTCACAGCTGGGAAGTATCTAAGACAGGGTTCAAATTCAGGTCTTCCCAATTCCAGGTCTTTCTATCCATTGTACCACCTGGCTGCTTTTTTGGTAGTCATGCCACACTTTTGACATAATGAGCTTGCAGTTCATGAAAACCCTCTAATGTTTCTGCAAGATTAGTTCAACTGATTTGACCCAAGTGCAAGCCTTTATCCTTATTAAATTTAATCTTGTTAGATTTCATCCTATTGAGATCATAATTTTGGATCCCAATTTTGTTGTCTAACATATTAGCCTTATCTCCCAATTTTGTTTAATCCACAAATAATCATAGGCATACTTAACTTGGTCTTTGCCCAATTTGTTTTCTACTTATTCAATGTCATCCCAATGAAATTACAAAAAAATTATTTTATTGAACTAGAAAAGTAATAATAAAATTCATTTGAAAGAACAAAAGGTCAAGAATATCAAAGGAATAAATGAAAAAAATATTAAGGAAGGAGGTTTAGCAGTATCAGATCTTAAACTATATTATAAAGTAGTCATTATCAAAACTATCTGGTACTGGCTAAGAAATAAAAAGGTAGATCAGTAGAACAGAGTAGACATACAGTACACAGTAGTAAATGATTATAGTAAACTTGTATTTGACAAATGTAAAGATTTAAGCTTTTAGAATAATACTACAATATTTAGTAAAAACTGTTGGGAAAGCTGAAAAGCAGTCTGGCATAAATTAGATAAAAACCAATATCATACACCATTTGCCAAGGTAAAGTCAAAATGGAAACATGACCTAGATGCAAAAGAAATTAGAACATGGAACACTATCAGACTTATAGGTAGAAAAAGAATTTATGAATAAACAAGATAGCATTGTGAGATTTAAAATGGATAATTTTGATTATGTTAAACTGAAAAGGTTTTGTATAAATAAAACCAATGTAGCCAAAATTAAAAGGAAAGCAGAAAATTGGAGGAAAAATTTTATAGACAGTTTCTCAGATAAAGGTCTCATATCTCAAATAGATAGAGAACTTTGTCAAATTTGTAAGAATATGAATCATTCCCCAACTGATAAATGGTCAAAGAATATGAATAGGTGGTTTTTCAATAAAGAAATCAAAGCTATATATAGTTATATGAAAAAATGCTCTAAATCATTATTAGAGAAATGCAAATTAAAACGACTTTGAGATATCATCTCATACCTATCGGATTGACTAAAATGATAGAAGGGGAAAATGACATGTTGCTGAGGATATGGAAAAATGGGGACATTTAATACACTGTTGGTGGAACTGTGAACTGATCCAACCATTGTGAAGAGCAATCTGGAATTATGCCCAAAGAGTTATAAAACTGTATACCCTTTGACCCAGCAATACCATTATTAGGTCTGTTTCCCACAGGTGATCAGGGAAAAAGGAGAAGAGCCTATATGTTCCAAAATATTTATAGCAGTTCTCTTTTTCATTTATTTATTTTATTAGCACATTAGTCATGTTGTAAGGAAGAATTAGAACCAATAGGAGGAACCACCAGAAAGAGGAAATAAAACAAAACAGATCTGCATTCAAACTCCATAGTTCTTTCTTTGGATGTGGATAGCATTTTCCATCATGAGGCCTTTGGAGATGTGTTAGATCCTTGCATTGCTGAGAAGGGCTGTCTATCAACACTAGTAATCGCATAATGTGGCTCTTACCATGTACAACGTTCTCCTTGGTTTTGCTCACTTTCTAGGTTTTTCTGAAGTCTATGTGCTCATCATTTCTTGTAGCACAATAGTATTCCATCATATTCATATGCCGCAACTTGTTCAGCCATTCCCCAATTGATGGCCATCCCTTCAATTTCCAATTCTTTGCCACCACAAAAAGAGCTGCTATAAATATTTTTGTACATGTGGGTCCTTTTCGCATTTGTATGATCTCTTTGGGATACAGCCCTTGAAGTAGCATCTCCCTTTGTGGTGGCAAAGAACTGGAAACTGAAGGGAAACAAGTGTACATTTTGCATTCAAACAATGTGGCCAGCCCTTCAGAGTTGCACTCTTTGTAGAAGAGTCTGAATACTTGGCAGTTTAGCTAGAGAAAAGACACCAGTGTTGGGTGCCTTATCTTGCCAGGTGATCTTCAAAATCTTCCTAAGACAATTCAAATGGA